TCTAAGATGAGGTTTCTGCTTGGTGGTGTGAGTTTTTGGATGTAATTTATTATGTCTTAGTTGGTTTAAAGAGTTCTGTTTTCTGCTCAGGTCCCAAACTACTTAACACAATACTGGTACTCTGTGCTATCAAGCAGTAAGGCTTATCTGTGCTAGCAGAAGTTAGCTAGTGGTCTAGTGGAAGGTGTCCCATCTGATGGCAGGGGGGGTGGAACTAGATGATCTTTAAGCTCCTTTCCAACCCAAGCCATTCTATGATTCTTAAAGTAACTTGGCGCATACCAAAACATTCCTGGTTACTTGGGTAAATGCAGACCTATGAAGAAATCTGAAGAGACAGAAGAGATACTGAGGGAGCAGGTGAAATATCCTATAAGCAGCCAGCAGGAGTCTCTCAGTCGCTAGCCCCTGTTCTCATAGGAGCTCCAACTTACCAGATGTCTGCTGAACATACAATACAGTGGAGCACAGACAGTCCAGGAGGTTCCTGGAGTGTGTGGCAGGTACCTTGCTGACACAGCTGATGAGGGAGCCAAGGAGGAAAGGTGCCCTACTGGACATGTGATTATTGGAGGCTGCCTTGGGTGCAGTGACAAGAAATAACAGAGTTCTCTGTTCTTGGAAGAAGCAGGATGGGGGTCAGAAAAACTGCTACCTTGGATTTCCAAAGGGCAGACTTGGGCCTGTTTAGGAGCCTGGTTGACAAGAGTCTCTTGGGAGACAGTCCTGAAGGGCAAAAGATGTGGAGCAAACCATGGTGATAAAAAGGAAAAGGCTGAGGTACTTAATGCCTTCTTTTCTCAGTCTTCAATAGGAAGACCAATAGGAAGACCAATTTTTTCTTGGTATGCAGCATCCTGAGCTGGAAGACAGGGATGGGGAGCATAATGAAGCCCCCATAATCCAAGAGGAAATGTTTAGCAACTTCTTCCACCACTTAGACACATACAAGCTTATGGGGCAAGAAGGGATCCATCTAATGGTACTGGGGGAGCTGGCAGAAGTGCTCATCAAGCCACTTTCCATCATTTATCGGAAGTCCTGGCTAAGCAGGGTGGTCTAAGCAGGGAGGTCGCAGTTGACTGGAGGTTGGCAAATGCGACACTCATCCAGGGAGGGCCAGAAGAAGGATCTGGGGAGCTACAGACCTGTCAGTCTGATCTTGGTGCTGGGGAAAATTATAGAGCAGATCATCTTGAGTGCCGTCATGTGGTATGTACAGGACTGCTTGACTAACCTGGTTTCCTTCTATGAGAAAATGACCTACTCAGTGGATGAGAGAGGAGCTGTCGATGTTGCTTACCTGGACTTCAGTAAAGCCCTTGACAGCGTTGCCCACAGCATTATCCTAGAGAAATTGGCTGCTCATTGCTTGGACAGGTGTACTATTCACTGGGTAAAAAGCTGGCTGTATGGCCAGGCCCAAAGACTTCTGGTGAATGGATTTGCATCCAGTTGGCAGCTGGTCACAAGTGGTGTTCCCCGGAGCTCAGTACTGCTTCAAGTTCTGTTGTCTTTATCAGTGGTCTGGATGAGAGGATCAAGTGCACCCTCAGCAAGTTTGCAGATCACACCAACCTGGGTGGGAGTGTTGATCTGTTCAAGGGAAAGAAGTCTCTTCAGAGGAATCTGGACAGGCTTCATTGATGGGCTGTGGTCAGTGGTATGAGGTTCAACAAAGCAAAGTGCCGGGTCCTGCACAACAGGGCTACAACAACCCCATGCAGCGCTCCAGGCTTGGAGAAGAGTGGCTGGAAAGCTGCTCATGGAAAAGGACCTGGGGGTGCTGGTTGACAGAGCTGAACATGATCCAGCTTGTGCCCAGGCAGCCAAGAAGGCCAACAGCATCCTGGCCTGTATCAGCAATAGTATGGCCAGCAGGGCCAGGGCAGTGATCATCCCCCTGTAATGGGCACTGGTGAGGCTGCACCGCAAATCCTGTGTTCATTTCTGGGCCTCTCATTACAAGACAGACATTGAGGAGCTGGAATATATCTAAAGATGAACAACAAATCTGGTGAAGGGTCTGGAGCACAAGTCTGATGAGGAACGGCTGAGGGAATTGAGGTGGTTTAGCCTGGAGTAAAGGAGGCTGAGGGAAGACCTTACTGCTTTCTACAGCTCCCTGAAAGGAAGTTCTAATGAGGTGAGTAATAAATGATAGGACAAGAGGAAATGGCCTTAAGTTGTGGCAGGGGAGGTTTTAATTGGATGTTAGGAAAAATTTCTTCATCAAAAGGGCTGTCAAGCATTGGAACAGGCTGCCCAGGAAAATGGTTGAGTCACTGTCCGTGGAGATATTTAAAAGATCTGTAGATGTGGCACTTAGGGACATGGTTTACCGGTGGACTTGCTAGCGCTAGATTAACAGTTAGACTTGATGGTCTTAAGGATCTTTTCCAGCTTAAATGATTTTATGATTCTAAATGTACAGTTGTCTCTTTTTGACAGTGAGTATTGTCAGCTGTTGAAGTTGAGGCTTAAGGGGTTGTGAATGATGGAGTGATTTCCCATTTTCTGGTGACTGCTTTCCATGTCTGTGATGATTAATAGACTTTGAAACAACAGTTCTTGCACACCAAAAAGTCTGCAGGTTTTTGTCTTTCATTATCTGAGTCTTTATATACTTTGCTTTCCTTTCCATGGTAATGTGCAATTCTTGCAGTATTACTTATACATATTCTCTTTGTCTTAGTAGGCCCTTATGACTACAGATTCTGACTGATTAAGGACTTCAGCCGATTTTAATGAATTTCAGTTCATTAAACCTATTTCCCTCTGTGCCATCATCATCCTTTGTCTGGAATATAATTATTTCATGCCAGAACTCAACAGATAGAAGAGGAAATTTGCAATAAAATATATGATTATGAAACAGGAAAGACCATACTAATGCTTATGCTTTGGGGGTATGAAGAAAGTGATTTCAATCTAAAGACTCTAATGGGATTTAAATGAAAAATATTTTCATAAGAGGCATAAGCTACTTTATAATTATTTGGAAGTTTGCTCTAAGTATGTTTCTAACCATCAATTATTATTATTTTTTTTAAAAAAGTCATAAATGATAGAGCTCATGCTATTTCTTTACAGCAGTGATTAATGAGTTAAATACAATCACCAGCTCTGTTCTGTTGAGTTCAGTAGTACTGATGTGTGTGCCTGTTAGCAGTCAAGACAGGGATACTGTAGACTGAATCAATGAAGATTGAGTTCTCCTCCTCCTGTTAGAGGAAGCTTCTTCAATGCGGGGTTGAACTGCGCTGGGATCAGGAATTTTGCTTTCAAGTTGCCTGACCTGTAGACAAGGAAAGGAATTCTGTTACCGGTGCTCTTGATTTAGCATCCTGAGTTTTTAGTTTAGAAGGGTGACTGCCGCAAAGATGTATAGACAAAGTAGTAAACTAAATCACTTTGGTTGCTGTTGCATAAGAAATCTAAGAGCTTGTAAGGATTCTGTAAAATACTGAGAGCACTGGTGGCATCAAGTCATAAAAATCAGAAGAAATGTGAAGGGAACTTTTATTTCCTGTGTCCAAATTGTAATAAAAAACAGAATAAAAAGACAACTTTGATTTAGTCAGTTCTTCTTCCTCCCACCCTTACTTGCTGCTACTGAAGACGCTTGTATACGCTCTTTCTCTACATGTGAGTCTTGACCAAGGCGTGCAATAAAGGTCTGAGTTTACCCTTGGCAAGTTTTCTAAAAAACCTATTAAATAAGTCTAGCTATTGTTCCATTCACCTTTGATGGCTTTGCTACTGCCAGCCAGAATTAAAAAGATACATTTGTCTCAAAAGTAATTGTCTTTTAAAAAATCAGCAATTGAGTATATGATTTAAATAATACTCTTAAAACCATTGTGTAGAGTTGGATATTCCTTAAAATAGTTGTACAGAGACTTGAGAGAAAGATAGCAGAGCTATTGGCACAGCTGGTGTTGGGTACCAGCCAGCCCGTTCAAGTGGGAGTAACTCCAGCTAGCCACATGCTCTTTATTTTAGTTGGGTGCTCTAGTGACAAAGTGAGATGAAGAACTTGGGAGACCAAAGACATAAACTTGCATATGACAAGTTGCAGAAGTCAGTAGCTTATTTTTTAAAAAATGTTGTGCAGTGTTGTCTACGCATTATTGATAATCCAGAGCAGAGCTGCTGGGATTTGACATTTGGGTTTGATCTAATCTGTATGGTTTCCATCTTATTTTTCTTAAGGTTTGTGGATTTTTAATGCTAATTAAATGTAAGCATAATGAAATGCTCTGCATCTATTATTTATCAATTTGTTTGATCCACATCAGAAATAATGAGATTGTTTTAATTTGTATTTACATAATCAAATATATTCCTTTGTATTTCTTTACATTCTTTTGTGTAGGCTTCTGGAGTAAAAGAAAGGCCTAATTTACTCGTATCTCAGATTTTAATGAATCCTTTCAGTGTCTTGTGCTTGATTTATTAAGTGACGTTATGCTCGTAATTCATAACTACATTTAAACAGCTTGAGGATTTGTACTTCATCAGGGAAGACCATTCTCAAGATACCTAACCTTTTTCCCGCATAATTTCTTAAGAAAAAAAACACTGTCCCTTCTTTTGAGATTTGATATTTTCACAGATAATTTATATATTGAAAGAGAGGGAAGAATGCACATGGTGTGTATTAAGTTTTCAAAAAAGAGGGATTTTTAAATAACTGTTTTCAGAAATGCTGATTTCAAATCATAGGCTTTATGTCTGTAAGAGATCAATATACATACTTAATCTAGTTTATAGAATATTAATGAAGATATTTCATTTACCAGGTCATCTTATTTATGCTGTTTTTTGTGTTGGTACATTTAATGCTTTGAGCAAACTGAGGTGGAAGAGCTGGTAGCTATTTTTAAAAATAGTTATAAATCTTGTATGAAATTGTGATATTGTGTGTTACTTTCATAATGAATAAAAACAGTTGATTCAATATGCTGTGTATGTTTTTGTCATTTTGTGTTTTTTAGGCTGTTGAGGTGGTAGAAGAATATAGTGAAAGTAATTTCTATGAATCTGACGAAGAACAGAAAGAAAAGGATCAGAAAGTGAAAGATACCTATTCTATGGACCCAGATCACAGGCTGCTGTTACGAAATACAAAGCCCTTGCTTCAAAGCCGAAATGCTGCTGTATGACAGATTCCTTTTTGATTAAAATACGACACTGCTGAGTATACTTTAGAAAATTTAAAAGGTTGAAAAGTAAAATCTACATCTCTTTAAAAGCGGTGGTAATACTCTTCAGTAACTTACAGAAGTACAGTGGTTCTTTTTTTTTTAATTAATGCAGCTTCTTAGTAAAGCATCTGAACTGAATGGTATATACTCCAAATATTAAGGACAAACAAAGCATTAGGGAAAACGTGATAACACTGAGTCCAACTTCTGTAGCATATGATGACTATGCAATAGCTGACTTTTAACCCTTAAGTTCTAAGCATCTGTGAAGGCAGAAACTGCCAGTTTTGGTGGTAAGGGATTTACAAAGAAAATCATATTTGTTATTAATTCATTAAGTTGTGCTTTTTCTTGAGTCTCGCATTTTCAATTATATGCCTAAATTCCTTGTCAGTCCAAGCTAGCTTAGTGTTGGTGTTTTGGCAGGGTTCCAAGATAGATATGACATCATGAGTGGGATACGCTGTGCAGTATTTCCATATTTTCAGAGGCAGGTAAATTTTTAAAACTGGAGAAAGCCGTGCTGATGGTGAATCATTGTGACATTCCTCAGATCACAGAACTTCATTTCTAACCTCAGTTTGTCCTGTTAAACAAGACTAGATGTCTTCAGGAAAAGACTTCCAGTGATAATGAATATTCATATCATTGCAAAAACTATTACTGCATCATGATTAAGTCACCTCCCAGTCTGTTCTTGATAGGCTGAACAGATAAAGTTTTTGTTTCTCCCCTGGATTCTGACTAATGTCTAACTCTTTTCAAAACCACTTATAGTCTGCCAAGACTTTGAAAACAAATTGAGTGCTGTTTTACAACAGTAATTCTGTTAGAGCACAGTTTTTGCTAAAAACACAATTCAACATCTATATAATATTTCCTCATCTCATGCAAAGAACAAGTATGTTAGATATGTTTGCCATCAAACTGCACTGAGAACAGGTTCAGTTGCTATCTTACACATTCCATAAATTACTTTCTTTATATCTGTTAAATATGGTATTGATTCTCACATTTATGATCTTTTAACTTTCCGATATTAAAGTTAACTGAGATGTTTAGTGTAGTTCCTCAAATGAAATCATGCTGCTCTGAAGTGCTATTACACCAATTTTTGTACCATTCACACAATTTGTCAGCAGTTAATAGCTTTCTCTCTGATCTTAGATTTTTGTCAGTAATAAAAGATCCCTCTAGTATATTGCTAAAAATCTTCCAGTTGTTAATTCTTTTGTGATGTTTTTAATGACTTTTTATTGTTTAATAATAATTTTTGTTTCAATGGTACTAAGAAAGTACCAAGATACTAAGGCAAGTTTTGTAATGATAGCTTTACCTGGAGTCTCCTTTCAGTGATTTGTTTTGTTTTGAACAGAAAGTTGACCATGACAGTATTGTAGGAAAGGTTGTGACATAGCTTACTAGCATAAAGCTCATCACTTGTCTTTTCCTTATGAGAAAACTTGAAGAGAAAAAAAAATTATGGTGTTTATATTACATATAGACCAGTCTTCTGGTTTTTGCTAGCCAGGATGTTGGCATACAACCTTGCAGTTTTAGCTTTCTGTTGGATTTGAGGCTTAGAAGTTGCCAGTTAAAGCAGCTGTTGTATTATAAATTGTGAAGTAAGATAATGGAATAAAAGGTTTGAAGTGGAAACTAAATAATAGGGGTAATATCCTCTTCTTTTAATAAGGAGGATAAAATTTGCAGAAGTTTTAAACAGTATTTCCTAATTAATTTGTGCAGATGATGTTAGCAATACTGACTTAGTAGGGGTGATATCTGTATGTTTACAATTTCTATTACTTTTCTCTTTTTTCTTCTTCCACTTCCTTCTGTATACAAATAGTGGGAAGAATGAAAGGTACTTACTTAGCTCTGATTTTAGAAATAATCCTTCTTCTGATGTTTTTCCCCAAACTGCTTTGTTGATTTCAAAGAACATGGGTATGCATTTTGCTTTCTGAAAAGTGAATTGGTAACCTCTGCAGGTCTGAAGCAAATGTGATAGGTATGTACTATGATTTGAAGATAACATGCTGTTCTGAATGTTCTTTTAGGTGGTAATGGCAGTTTCACAGCTGTATTGGCATTTGGCACCAAAATCCGAAGCTGCTATTGTTTCTAAGTCGTTGGTGCGTTTACTTCGTAGTAATAGGTAGGTCTGGTCCGTACTTTACACTGCCATGTCTACTTTTTTGTGAGTTTTTTGTACATACTGCTTAGGTGTGGTTATAAGAATGTAACTGTTGCAGTATTTGTTTCATTTTAAAATTGTCTTGTAATACTAATTTTTACTCACCAAATGATCATTAATTCTGTCATTTTCTGTATCATATCCAGGGATCATGCAGTATTGTGTTATTGAATGATCACTGATATTAACTATTGTTTATTAGGACTTTCATTCTGATAAGAATCCTGGCTGCCTAGTTACCATACAGATAGAGGCAGTGCTAACTAGTTTGCTTAGTTTCTTGATTTCTTTATTGTTGGAAATTAGTAGAATTTTAATGACATTGGAGTTCCTTCGTTCCTTATTGTCTTGCTACGCACTGAAGAAGTCTTCAGATGTGGGTTTTTTTTTTCCTGCACTTTATATTGAAGGCTTATGGACAGAGAAACTAAGAAACTTCTTTTTTTTTTTTTTTAGAGTACCACTTGATGCTATTGAATCCCCTTTGTTTCTTTAATACTCAGACTGTTTTTAAAGAACAAGTTTATATTACATTCAGGACATCTAATTTTGACTTTATCATCTTCAGTGTGAAATTGTCTACTTTCCTATGAAGGGTTTCACTGGTCGTACGTTTCATAAGATTGATAATACTCTTTTTTCCTTTGTATTTGATAGTTTTGGTGTATTATGCCAAAATTTGCTGTGTAGAAGTGGTGGGGTTTTTTTGCTCAGCTTTTAGATCTTGAACTTCATGTACCTGTTTGAAAAGCCTTGAGGTGGTAATATTAACACAATATAATATTGACACAATATTAAGATGTTTTCAGAACAACTTTCTAACTAAATATGGTATTTTTGCTAGAACTTTGATGCAAAAGTTATTTATTTTTTAAAGTTGGCCACATCAAGCATACTAAAAACTGAAAAAGAAAATCAAACAAAAAGGAACAGAAAAACGAACAAATAAACCTCCCCAACAACAACAAAAAAAAAACCACCAAAGCCATGTTTGTTGTGTCTGACAAGATTACTCATCTTAGTTGGACTTTAACTTTTCTAAGCCTGGTCACCGTACAACTCATCTTACTCCCTAAACTTTTGCAGCTCAGCTATGGCTAATGTCTCAATCATTTAAAAGTTAGTAAAGAAGTAAAATTGGGCTTGGTAGAACTTTCATATTTTTGTTTCAGGTGAAAACAAATCACTGTTATTTTTGCGCTTGGTTTTGTAGTACAGTATGCTTCCATTTGCTTTATACAAAGATAAGTAAAATGGTTAAAGCAGTTTCGAGTATGCACAGGTAATGTATAGAACAAAACTCATACAGGTTGAAAAGATTATTTTTGCATATTGTTTATTGCTCATTTATACTCAGATTTCGTCAAAAGAGAAGTCACATCTTTCCTGTATCTCAGCTAATGCCTAATATGATGCTAGTCTTCTGATTTTCCTGTGCTGAATGGATTGTCTGTTCTCTGTTACCAGTCTGTGTGAAATGCTTTTGCTGTTAGGCCCATTTTGAAATAAGCTTTTGCTGTTTGCCCTTGAAGTTATGTGCCTATGGCCTTTGAATTAATGTCAAATAAACTATAACCTAGTTAGGGTGAGAGTGCCTGGAAGAGCATTTCATAGCAATTTCCAGACCTGGTTGTTCATGTACAGCTGACTATTTCCATGTACCTATGTAAGAATTACCTAAAAATAGGTTTAAAAGATATTAAGTACTTCTCTATTATTACTTTTCTTTTGTAAGCAACAGCTGTAATTACCAGAGGGCTGTTAAACAGTTTTGAATAAGAGGAGATAATGGATGTGATGATTTCTCTATTAGAATGGGATTTGTGTCATGAAAGAATTTGAGCACTCATGGTTCACAAAAATTGCTTTTAAATTATTACTTAGTTTTTAAGCAATTGGTGGCAGAAACTCTGTAGTTTAAAAGCTTTAGTGTACTGCCCAGATATTTTTTTTTTTTTGCTGACTCCTGCTGCAGCTTTTCAACTAACTCGTTAATAATGAGAATATCCTCCAAACTTATTTCATGGTTTTGTGTTTAGAATATTGCATATTTCTGTAGTCTGCTTCTCTCAAAGCTTATTATGTTAAAGTACTGCTTTTTGATAGATGTGTATGTATGTCATTATATAGTCTTAAGTAACTGGAGATACTCTCCCTTTTTGAGAATTATTAGGAAATTTTTTAAGACTAAAAAAGGTCATAGCAGCTCTTGCTGGTTGTGCAAGGATTAGCTGTACTTGTAAGTGACACAGTCATTCTCATGCTGCAGGTAAAGGCCATGTGTTTTTGTTCTTAGCTATGTCAACCTGAAATACTTAAGTTTCAGGATGGTAGATAAAATGCAAGGTTTTTGTGAGCTACTTCTGGAGAAGCCAGGATGACGATTTTTGAAAAAAAAAATTTGGTTTAAACAAAGACCAAGGCTTACAAGAAGCATTACACTAGTGTCAGTGATTTTTTCCTTCATACTGACACTGGAACAGGTTGCCCAGAGAAGCTGTGGATACCCTGTTCCAGGAAGTGTTCAACGCCAGGTTGAACAAGGCTTTGAGCAACCTGGCCCAGTGGAAGGTTTCTCTGCCTATAGCAAGGTGGGGGTTGAAGCTAGATGATCTTTAAGGTCCCTTTCAACTCAAACTGTTCTATGATTCTATGGACTTTCTTTGCTATGTTGCATTATTCTATGTATTTGTAATTTTGCAGGATAACCGTTGTTTTTCTTTTCAAATTCTAGGGAGGTGCAGTATATTGTTCTGCAAAATATTGCCACTATGTCAATTCAGAGAAAGGTACAACCTATTTAGAGTTTTCTAAATCATGTTTTATGTGAAACACAGGCAAGCTACTTAAATTATGTCTGTTTTTCAGGGTATGTTTGAACCTTATCTGAAGAGTTTCTATGTTAGGTCAACTGACCCAACAATGATCAAAACACTGAAGGTGAGTTTGAAATCGAGTTATACCGCTAGACAGACCTGTTTGCACCAGGAAGGTAAAATTTTCTTGCACTATTATGACACACATCAGTTTATGATGTTACATTTTTTTCACTATGGAGTGTGGAGTTGTGGCTTTTAGTTAAATCTGCAAGTGTGCTTTAGACTTGTCAGGCAATCTGAAACTTCTCTTGTTACCATGTTTTATTTGGCAGGTAAGCTATGGTTTCCTCTACAGCTTTTGGTATCTTGGAGTGATAGAGAGTGTTACTATTTTAATCTAACCAGCCATTCAAACATTTAGAGTTTGACTATTTTCATGGGAGAAAGAAACTTCTCAAATGAAGAGAAATTAAATCACACAGTCTTCAATATTGTTAGCTTAAAAAGAGTTTAAATCTGTTCCTCTGAACAAAATGGGACAGTGTTACAGTCCCAGATTTACTTCGAAGGCAGCATGCGACATGAGAAATACTTTAGACTTTCCCCAAGGCCACATCTCAGTGTGTGTTTTAGGCTGTCGTCTTCTTATTTTCTCTAGTCTTTTTTTTGCACATGAAATCGTTGATAAAACAATAGCTAAAAAATGGTCTATTATTACGAGCCTTTTCTCTAGTTTTGCTTTACATTGTCATAGGCACTTGTGTTTGGAGTGGAAGGCACAGGTTTCTTTAAGAAACATTTCTTCCTTATTTTCACTTTACATCAGTGTTGCACTCATTACACGTGCAGAGTGGTGGAGTCCATGATCGATATGGCCAACCTGTCATATTTTTATTAGTCCAATTTTAAATTTAAATAAATTTGTGGCAGTTGGAGGTAAAAAGATCATTGCCGCAATAATGATTATGAAAACTGTTAGGAATACTGGTAAGACTTAGTGTTATCCAGCAAAAGTTACTCCTGAAATAAATTAAAGTTAATAAATTTAAATTCCTGTATTAATTGGTAATACACTGGTGGAGAAGTACAAATTATTTTTTTCCTTTCATTGTCTCAGCTCTTTGTGGCTGAAAAGTTTAGGTCAACCTACACTGTTATAGACATAAGAAAATCTTGTGATTTCTCCAGCCCCTCCCTCCATAGCCATCCTATCTCCTTTAAGATAGGCAAACCTGTTTAAGATGTAGGAGCAACCTGAAATTCATCTGCTGCACTGTTTTGATTTCTGTTTCATTCTCTGTTTCTTTCCCAACATCAAGTTTGCTTTTTTAATCACTGATTAGCATTGAGCTTGTATTTCCATGGAATTATCTATTTTAGCCACAAATTCTCAGTTACAATTTTAGTAATCAGCTCAGAGCTCAGCTCATTTTCTTTAAAGCCAAGGTTTTTCCCCAGTTGTGGACATTACATTTACCTTTGGTGATTTTTTTATTTTGCCATTTTGTTAACCAGTCACCTAATATTTAATTTTTTTTTTATGCAGCATTTTATGGTCAGCCTTTGTCTTAATTTCTCTGAGAACTGTGGCATCAGCCAAAAACTTTATCATTTGTCTTCTTGTTTCTTTCATAGTTCTTATATAAATATGTTCAAAAGCAAAAGACCAACAGAGATGTTTATGGGATTCCACTGATAGCCTTTTAGTACTGTAAAATAGCTTTTTTTTTTTTTTCCCACTTGTTCTTCTCTTCCATTTATCCACTTGCTTATATGCTGTGCTAGGTATGTATCTTTAAGAACCATTGGTGGTAGTCTTATCGAATTGCTTCAGAAGTATGGGCAGACTGTATCAGTAAGTGTCCTTGTCTGTGTGCATCCAGCTCAAAAAATACCAACAGATTTCTGGGGTATAACTTTCCTTTACAGAGACAGAGTTGTCTTTTTCTTCAAGTTACCTCATTTAGATTGTACTGAAACTCTTTCTTCTACAAAGTTAGAACAGCCTGGAAGCATAGCATTTTAACAGTATATGCCAAGTGTTGTATATGGTCCTCTTGTTCACTGAGAACAAAGAAAAGGATGTTGCTGATGTTGATTAAGATCTCAGGAGGTTTGTAGCTGCGATGGCTTAATTGCCCAGTTTAAAGGTCTTTCATTGCAGTTCATCTGAATATAATGGACACTTTATTTTTTCACCATCTGCAGTTAGAATCATAGAATCATAGAATAGTTAGGGTTGGAAAGGACCTTAAGATCATATGCTTCCAACCCCCGTGCCATGGGCAGGAACACCTCCCACTGAACCATGTCACCCAAGGCACTGTCCAATCTGGCCCTGAACACTGCCAGGGACAGACTATTCACAACTTCCCTGGGCAACCCATTCCAGTGCCTCACCACCCTTACAGTAAAGAACTTCTTCCTTATATCCAATCTAAACTTCCCCTTAGTTGTGATTTGTTACTTCTTACAGTGTCACATGGTTCCTATATTCTAAGGCCTGTTTTTTAACACTGGAAGCCATGCTGCCAGAAGTATTTCAAGCTCATTTGGTATGCAGTGCAACACTAAAGGTAGAGCTTATAGAACATGCATCACTGAACCATAGAGTCCTGCTTTGAAAATCTTGTTTATACTTGCAAGTAGAATATTCCTTCAGAATGCAGTGATGCTACTAGTTTATACTAAAATCTGGTAAATTCTGTTGAATTGTAAGTGGTATTTTTAGTAGTATTATCTTTTACTTATAAACAATAGAAGTGTAGTATATATGTGGTGCTTTTCATAAGATTTTATTTTAGCTTTTGATAAAATACCTTTTTCTTGCAGCTTGAAATCTTGACAAATTTAGCAAATGAAGCCAACATATCAACTCTGCTTCGAGAATTTCAGGTTTGTGCAAAAGTGTATTTTTTTTACATGAAACACTTTCTGTTGGCCAGTTGTCATTACTGGATGTTTCATCTAGATTCTTGGTCTTTGTTTTTTCAAGTCAATATCCTTTCCAGGGTGAAATGTTCTTGGAATGGAAATGAAGCTGTCTCATATCATAGTATATGATGAAGCTTTTTATATGTGGAAAGGCGTTTCAGTGTTTTGTTTCTCTCTCCTTCCAGCTAGAAAAACAAAACAAAACAAGTGATGAGAAAAACCCAATTATTCCAAATTCTTTAAAACAAATTCTACCAGTGTGACTGACACTGTAAGTCACAAGAAGATAGGGTCTTAATTTTAGCAATATTTGGCTGTTAGCATTTACTGCCAAACCTAATTTCTGTAAGTCATTTGTTGAAATAGTATTATTTCAAATATCTGTATATGTATCAGCAAGATGTTCTGCCAGTATTGTGAAACAGTGTCTGTCCTTCTTTCTTTGCTCTTTGCTTATGACATGTATTTTCACTGCTTCAGTTCTCTGGCTGGATTTCTCTGAAAGGTACTGGTTCTCAGGCAGGTAGGTTATTCGTAGTTTCACAGATGCTCCTGGTTAAATGAACTGAAACCTCTTCAAAGAGAGAGCTCATCAACCCCTCCATGCTTGCACAGAAACTAATTGCTGGTTTTGGGTAATTGTTCCCTGCCCCAAGCTTTCTTGAAATCAGAGGTTTGCATGGCTATGAGTGACCAAAGCAGCAAGAAAATGTCTCCTAGGTGAGGTGAAAAAAAGTGCAATTTCTAACATGTAATGTAGGTTGCTAGATGGAATTTGTTACAGAGTATGTTTGTCTTATGAGGATAATAGGGTAGGTAAGTATTTGGTTGACAAGACTCGTGTAATGACTAACGAAAATCCTGTTTCCTTAGACTTACGTGAAAAGCCAAGATAAACAGTTTGCTGCAGCTACAATTCAAGCTATAGGCAGATGTGCAACTAACATCACCGAAGTGACTGACACATGCCTTAATGGCCTTGTTTGTTTGCTGTCCAACAGGGATGGTAAGCTAATTGTTCTGTTTGTTTTCTGAGTAGCTGAAGGCATGAAACCTTTTCTTAATGAGAACCACACAGAGCAGATCACTCTGAAAAGTTATATGGGAATTTGCTTTTATAAGAATTTATCTGACGTGACTGGATAAAAACAGTGATTTGATGCTGCTTTTTGCATAAAATACTTCAAAGGCTATCATAATCACTGGGGTGCGTCTTTTTTGTTAGTGAAATGAATTCCTTGTGGTTGGCAATTACATATTTACCTGTTTTGTTTGGGTTTATTGGGTTTTTTGTTGTTACTGTTTTTTCTATTTTTTTTTTTTTTTCAAAATACTGCAATTATTTGAGTGTGCTGTTGTGATTATCATTGATGACAGTAGTTTTACTGCTACATGCTTAATTGCATCAAAATAGTTAGCCTGTAGAGGGTGCTGAAAGCTTGGAATTTTTTTTTTTTTTTTTTTTTCTTTTACTGCATCAGTGCTTAACTGAAAAAAAATCTTAAATAGTTTTAGGGTAAGCAGCCCCAAAGTTGGCTTGATTTTGTAATCTAGCCTTCTGTTATTTTTATAGAGTGAAATGGAGTTGCAAGTCACTAAGGAACACGACAAGGAGCCAATAGAGTCAAATAGGTTATAGCAGCACTGTAAATCAATACCTGATAATATTGCATATTCTTACTAGTTACCAATGAATGTTGCACAGCAGAAGCCAATAAGAGAACTGGAAGATTATTTTATAATGTACAACCTGCATTAATATGGTTAAATATTGGAAATAGCTTTAAGAAAGATTTAGTTAAAAAATAATAAACAGAGGGAAGGAGGAAAGGCATGGGTTTGGGATGCCTGGGGTAATTACAGTTGTTCAGAGAACACAGGTGAATTTTCCTGTAAGCTTTGAAAAGCAGGATTAATTTCTCTCCATATCTGCTGGACATATTTTTCATGGTAATCCTAAAAAGGCCGTTATTAGAGACATCACTTTGGCAGTACATAGTCATCCTGTGACCCACTGATACACGCAGAGCTTTCTCTGACTTGGTTTATGAGCTACAAGTACTCCTCCTGTTTTTCTTTTTGCTAAGAAGGAACCGAGGTAAGATGAAAAAGCTTTTTTTTTCTGTTATCAGAGCTTGTCAATTTAATATTTTCCTCAATATAATTCCATATATACTCGCACACATATGCATGTGCCTGTATACAAAGGTCTGTCTCAACAAGATTAGTTTTCTTGACTGTTTCTAAGTAGTTGTCTAGCAAATAAAATTATCTTTTTGTGCTTACTGTTCTGAAAGACTGCAGAGGATATATTGAGGATCTTTTAAAACTGGCAGCTGGCAAATTGCTTTACCGTAGCTGCAGCGTCTTTATTCCTTCTTTCAAGAAATGAATAGAATGGCATAATTTACATGGTGCCTTTCTTGAGGTGGCAGGAAATTACCAATAGTCACAGCTTACTGAACATAAGAAGAGTTTGGGACACGGTAAGGGAGAAAAACAGAGATTTAGCATGAGAAGAAGAAGAGAGTCTTGGTTAATCTTGCTTTCCTCCAACTTTCACCTCTAAAGTGTGCAAGCAGTCAGTTTGCTGTGCTGTTTCTTCCACACTTGTTTGGAGCCTGAAAACAGTTCTGCTGCCATTGTGTAGCATGAAGCCCAGGCTGTTAAGTCCAGCAGGTTCTGAGACCCCTGAAAGCAGAATTAGCTCTACTTTCTCTGCACTGTTTTATTATGGGTAATTCACTTTAGTGTGAAAGAGATGTGACCAAATTGATTCTACTAAATCAAAATAGAATCTTGGAGAATGAGCTTGTGGCAAAACTGCCTTCAAATTCTATGTCCTTGTTCTGGAAGGGCCCTTACTGTAGATACAAACCAAGAGCCAAGGCATGTTGGCTGTGTCTGGCACAGGAGCTGTGCCATTAATAATTCTGCGACTTGGGTGCTGAGAGGTGAAGTGTCACTTCACGTAATAATCTCTTCAGAAGACAGGTGCAGCTGGAATAACTCTTCACAGAGCTCTTTGGTTGTCTCATCATTAAAGTTTCTAGTTTCTATATGTGCTTCTGTTATTCAGGTGGTTTTTTTCCATAGCCCCTCTCTTCCCTGAGTAGGAAAAATTTGACTTTAAATAAAGCACTCATACAAAGAAAATTTCAGGAGTGGTTCTCAACTTCCCCAGGGCCTTGTTTCTGGGGGCCATGTTGATGGCTGAGAATTATTTTCCTTCCTCATCTGCTGAAGAAAGTACAGCAAGAAAAGTTATTTTAGCTCTTTGGTGTGATATTTGGCATTTGACTGATGCATTTCCTTTAAGCAATTGCCTTGATAATTTCCACTGACCGCTGGCCCCACTGTAACATAAAAGTCTTGTCAGGTGTAACAGACAAATGGGATTATAAGAAGTCTCTTGTCTGTCTGTACTGTGCATACTAGAGATCCTGCAGATTTTCCTTCAATGGGTGACTTTCATTTTCTGTTGAAAATTGCAGGTTGAATGTAAACACAATTGCAGGGTGTATAACTAAAACAATTTTTTTCCCAACAATCTATACAAATTTGAACAGGCAAGTTGCAAAATCACTGGAACTGTTAATACATGAGGTAACTACTACCTAGCTATTGGAATTACTGTTAGAAAGACATAAAAGAAAACAAACTCTTTGTAGCATTAATGTAGTTTCAGAGTTCATTATTTATAAGTGTGGAAAAATTAACCAGGTTCAGACAGTTCTGAAAAGCAGAAACTTAATGAGTGTCTGGATACTTAGCACTAATAATTGCCTTGTTACTTTAGTTTTAACCATTTGCATAACCTTCTAACAACCAAATCATAGAATGGTTTGGGTTAAAGGGACCTTTAAAGGTCATCTAGTCCGCCCCACTGCAGTGAGCAGGGACATCTTTAACTAGATGAAGTTGCTCAGAGCCTGTCCAGCCTGACCTTGAATGTTTCCAGGGATGGGGCATCTGCCACCTCTCTGGGCAACCTGTTTCAGTGTTTCACCACCCTCATCATAAAAAATGTCTTCCTCCTTATATCTACTCGAAATCTTCCCTCTTTTACTTCAAAATGATTATTCCGTATACTATTGCAACAGGCCCTGCTAGAAAGTCTGTCCCTATCTTTCTTATAATTCTCCTTTCATTATTGAAAGGCTGCTGTAAGATCTCCCCATAGCTTTCTTTTCTTCAGGCTGAATGATCCCAACTCTCTCAGCCTGTCTTTATAGGAGAAGTGTTCCATCCCTCTGACCATTTTTGTGTCCCTCTCTGGAACTACCACAGGAGGTCTGTCTTTCCTGTGCAGAGGAGACATTGGGCGTAGCATGCCCACACTTTCCAGTACCCCATCACCTTTCCTGTGCCTGTACACACAGGCATTATTCCCTTAGACTATGGGCATCCCTATAAAATGTCAAGTTTATTTAGTCCATGACTTTGGGCTCCATGTAACAGTCTTTCAGGGCAGGAAAGTTGGTGTGTGGTGCTGGATTATTGCATGCTGGAGCCAGTTCCGATTCCATCACTACTGTGCATTTCTGGTTTCATCAAAGTTAATTCTTCCTTAATACAGTGATCAAGAGGGAGTTGGGCTCAGATCCGCAAATCCAGCGTGGCAGAGATGAGTGCCATGAGGTGTCCACCGTGGTGGTTGGTGTATAGGTGTCCTAGAAGTGATAATATACAGTGTTTTATAGCAGTTAGTATCAAACAATTTAGTTCATTGGCTATTCTAACCAAAAATCAAATCCCCTTAAGGTACATATGGTACTTTCCCACCATGGGACATCCCCAGCATGTAAATTACTCACACATTACTCACCAAGCACACCCAAGTGCTTGACTAAAAGCAGTTCTGTGAATGAGTTTGTCATTGTCTGAGTAGAAATACCCAGATGGTTTTTCTTAACATACTTTTTATGTGCACTACAAGAAGTTTATTTGCTTCCACAGTATGTAAAGTTTTGAGTAGGCCAGCTCAGCCCAATTCTGTAGTGTTAACTAACCAGGTAGCTTTTGCTCAGTGTGTATCCCAGTGTTTAAAAGTCCCACTACCCATTGCTCTCAGTGTAGTCTTTAATAGTCCATTGTGTCATTCGATTTTCCCAGAGGTTGGTGCATGATATGGGGTATGATATATACCCATTTGATGCCATGCTCTTTGGTCCAGGTTTTCATAAATTAGTCCCATTGATTCAACTTTTTCTGCACTACTGTATCACCATAAGACTTGCTTTATCCATCGCTCTGATCATTTTTGTGGCCTTCTTCTGGACCCTCTCCAACATGTCTTTCCTGTGCTGAGGACTACAGAGCAGGATGCAGGACTCCAAGTGAGATCTCACTAGAGCAGAGCAGAGGTGCAGGATCACCTCTGTCGGCCTGCTGGTCATGCTCCTTTTGATACAGCTCAAGATACAGTTGGCCTTCTGCGCTATGAGCACACACTGCTGGCTCATGTCCAGTTTTTTTATCCACCAGTATATCTACCCTTCTCTGCAGGGTTGCTATCAATCCTTTCATCCCCCAGTCTGCATTGATATCAGGGGTTGCCCGAACCAAGTGCAGCACCTTGCACTTGCCCTTGTTGAACCCCATGAGGTTCACATGGACCTACTTCTCAAGCTTGTCCAGGTCTCTCTCAGTGGCATCCCATCCCTCACGTGTGCCAATCATACCACTTAGCTTGGTGTCATCTGCAAGTTTGGTGAGGATGCGCTTTTAATCTCACTGTCAGGTTCAGTTGGTATATTCCTTCCAAAAACAGTTGATGCAGTTTTGCTGCTTTTAGAAATAGTTATATAAATTACAGACTGTGGATAAATTATTCTTCAGTTGTGTGTTTTAGTTTCTGGAATTACTGGTTAATGTAAGTGGAAGGAAATTTGACTCGGCATCAGTGGTATCAAATGTAGTATTTCAGAATGCAGCTTTTAAATGTTGTCTGGTAATACATTCTTTGCTAAGGTCTTTTCCTGAGTTTCTGTTATAATGTTGTCAAATTCTCAATTATGAAAAATTTTAATTCTGTCCCCACAATTTACTGTCCACTACATTGTTAGTTTTTATATACATTTGGCAAAATGGAGTATTGAGTGATGTAATATTTTAGGTCTTTGTGAAGTTGTTCCTGCTGAGAGTAGTTGCTTCAAAATTGTGTGAAGAAAACTAGCAGTGGACATTATGCTAAGATATTTACTATGACTTGTGAAAATTGAAATTGCTGATACCTCTTGTAGTCTTCTCTATTGGTAATGGCATTCCTGATCAGATTTTCTGTGATATTTATTTTGTCTTTATTTTTAGATTTTGGTTTAAATTTGTGGCCCTATGGTATAATTTAGTTTACACTCTGTTTTGAAATTCTTGCATTCATATATCATTGTCTTTTATGTACTTTCACTTTGACAACTCCAGCAGTTACATTTTCAAATTTTTTTACCACTCATTCAAAATGCCAATTTTATCTCTACCTTTTGAGGGGTTTTTATTTGTCTTTAAATCTAAGTGTGTGTCTTTTATTTCATGCTCATTTTGGGATTCTTCATGTGCATAAAGCAAGCCTCAGAAAGCCTCTCTTCTAGAGGTCCTTTTTCTAATGCAAATTCATTTTGCTTTTGTTTGTACTTTCTTTTTTTCGTGTCTAGACTCATGTAAGAGAAACCTACCGGTTTATTTGCTTACAATTCTGGTTCAATTTTTTTAAATTTGGTCCCACAGATTGCATTAAAGTAGTTTGTATGGTGACTAAATGTACTGCACATTATTTTATCATGATTGGTTCTACACTGTCAACAGTTGTTTTTAATAATGACTTCGTGTGCACTCATATTTTTGGGTCCAGTGTTGTTTTGCTTAATCATTAAGCAGTATCACAAAACACTCAATAATGAAGGTTGCCATTACAATGTCCCCCTCTCTAAATGTTCCAGATTGTAATTTTAAAATTTTGAGAACTCTCTTTTTGTTTTATTATCTGGCAAAACTCAATTAGATTAAGTTGATCTGTAGGCTTGTGTGAGACATTGAGATACGTGAAGTAAATGTCTTAGCCTTACTTCAGGAAATAAGCCTAGAAAAATGGCTGAGATGTCATTTCAGATAAAGGATGACTCAAAAAGACACAAGGTAAGATGTAAGCATTTCAAAGGCTTATGGCATAATGATGCATACTCACAGATTTTGAAAAGTCTTTCTCCATAAGGACGTTTGCTTTCTTAAAAAAAAAAAAACAAAAAAAACAACAAAAAAAACCAGACATCTCTTCCCTGTACTGTTCTTTTGAAACTTCAGCATGCTCGATTGCTGTCCATGCATCAGTTTAACTCTTGAAACATGGGAATACCTCTGTTTAACAAATGGTAGTTGGGCTTTTTCTTTGTTTTAAACAATGATAGTTTAGGAGAAGTAGTTACTATCTTTTTGTAGTGTAAGTGAAATGTTGAGCTTTTACAGTAGTGTGTTTTGGTTTCAGTTTTCCTTGCAGCTGGAATTTACTCTTGCATAGAAGCTTACCTCTGCACCAGTGGGTTTTTTCAGCTTCAGGAATTGTACATTTCATACAAGTTGATCATGCTGCGATTGTTACTTGTTACAGTAGTTAAGCACTCCAGTGCATGACTTTGGCATAAATCTTACAGCTTGCTATTTAGAAGCTTCATTTGGATATACTAGAGATTAGGTTACAGACCTAAGAAAAGGTGAAAAAGTGTAAAGGAAATGTTTAGTTATTTTTCTTGTTTATGAATGAGCTGTTACATTTAACATTGTAGATATCTTTGAAAATTTAAAAAAGTGTTTGTATTTTTAATACAGGCAGCAAATTACTTATGAATATGCATATTTTCGATGAAAAACAGATGTTTTTTCATGCTGTTCCTCAATCTGAAAAGGAAAAAATACAAAGAGCAGCTTTACTAAAAAGCAATTTGAAAAAAATATGTAATAGGATGATATTTTACATTTATAGCACTTCTGTTGTCCTCTTCCTGTGCCTTATAACTTGAAGCTGAACTTTTATTGCTTAGAGTGTTTTACATCTTTGTTACCAAATAAATATTCAGTTCTGCAAAGCATCTTTAGAAAACTGATAACATCTTTTATGATGAATTATTTATAACTTTTTCTTTTATATAAATACTTTTTAAGTTAATGATCTGTTTTGTCTTAAACAGAAATTGTAGTTGCTGAAAGTGTGGTTGTCATTAAGAAACTGCTGCAAACCCAGCCAGCACAACATGGTGAAATTATTAAGCATATGGCCAAACTCCTGGATAACATTACAGTGAGTATTTGTGCACAATGTCTTCCTTATTGACTGATAAAAATCACACTATCTACTTTGAATGTGGGCCATAAACAGAAATAGATATATTAGAGAAATAGAACATTATGTATTTTTAACATAAAATACCATTTTTTATGATTTTATGAAAGAGGAAATAGAAGCAATCAGATGGCATCAATTTGTGCTTTAGACCTGAGGAGCTATTTTGAAAGAGTTCCCCAGATCTGTTGGGTATTGCTAGTACCATTAGGCCAAACGAATAGCAGGTTTCAAACGTAGAGTGGGTAAGTTGAAATGAACAGCATAGCAGCATTCAACTTGAGGATTTTCATCTGGTTGCCTTATTGATCTGGGATAGAGTTTTATTCTAAATATTTTTCCCTATCCTGAAATTACCTCATCTTTGCATGGTGCCAGACATGCTTCTGTGAGTGTGTTGCGATGTTTCTTCAAGTTGCATTTTCATCTTCTGGGTGTTTTAAGATTCTGTGGCATTTAACAGTAAAATTTACATTATTACCTATAATCTATCCTTAGATTAAATTGACATTTATGTATGTCAATATTTACTTCCCTAATTTTCCTCGAAGTCTGAGTTATTGATGAAACATTTAGTGGTCTTATCCTATATGACTGAAGACTATTAGCTACCTATTGCATCATACCTCAGTGGTGACAGATTTTGATCTGTCAGTAATTATTTTTCTGTAGATGCTATAAATAGAACTGTTCCATTTCATACAATTACACATTTATTAATGATAGAACAGTAAATATTTTCTAAATCAGTGAATTTGCTATTTTCTGTAGTTGACTTTAACAAAGTTTGGAATAATAAAAGAAAAAGGAAATGTGATCTGGTTAGTTCATGCTTGCTGAACAGATTAAACATACAAATTTTTGGTCACTAGGAGCTCAGACTTCTTAACTGATGTAAAGAAAATTCTACTGGATTGCTTATATCCAGAATCAAAGAGGCTATAAGATACTGCTGCTAGTTCTATATCAAATAAATATCACCCATGATTTTAGAAAATTTGTGCAATATTTTGATTGATAGTTACAATCTTATGAATTGTGTATAATCTTATACACATCTTCTGGCACTTTGTCAGATCGGTTTGTCATCCTGTGGGTCAGCATATTATTCAAAAGAAAGTAGTTGTTTTCTAAATACACTGTTTAACACTGAAAAGAGTTTTGTAGCTGTTTTATACAATTAATACTTCTGGGTTAATATTTCAAGTTTTAAATACATTAAAGTTTTTTTAAAATATCTGAAGTATGGGGAAGCATAAACACAGAAATTCTTTGATGCTTAAGGAGTTGAAATGAATTTAATACTATGTAAAATGCAACCAAAACATGAACAGAATTAAATTCATTTGAATAGAAAAACACTTAAGGTTTTGATTGTTCTGTCATGATTTAGTTTAGGTAAATGATGAACACTTAGCCAGTACAATAAAAAAGTGTAAACTGGATGGAATACATTCTTAGGCTGGTGCCTGAATTTGCTTTGTTCATGTTGTGTTAGCCTGAGATACTGATTGTCACTGATGAGGTGCTTAAAATCTTTTGAATCAATGTTTCTTTCAGGTCATCCAGTCTGAATTTTTCTCATCTTCCTTAATCTTGTCTTCATCTGCTTCATCTACAAAGCCATTTAGAAAGTGGTAGGATAGATAGTAAGCTAAATATATATGACCAATTACAAGAAATATTAGGAAGTTCAGTTAAAAACTACTCTTGCAGACTCTTATTTACATTAAAGTTTAGGACTAGATCCATTTCAGCTTGCTCTGTAATTGATTGTTTCTTACATATCTAAAAAGAGTGCTCATTTTTCTACTTCTGCTGTATTATCATTTGTACCTTAAACTTTTACCTCCGGCATGTCCAGGCAAAGATCTTTGAGATTTGTTTTGTGTCTGGTATTTGTTGAGTACCAAGACCTGTGCATAGTACAACTCAGTATATCTGTATTCCAGCTCCAAGATATTTTTCCCTAGAAATACTTTAGGGTCCATCAGAATGAGTAGAATTGGTTTTTTTTAAAGTCCTGTTACTAATGTTTCAAGGCTAGCTGTATCACTTCTGAAAAAACACTTCTGATTTCTAAGTATCACTAATAAGTAAGTAAATTTCAACTGTTCAGACCCTATATTAGTTTAGATTACCTTGGATAGTTTTGTGTCAGCAGACTATCTCCTCACTAAATAGCCCTTTTCTAGGTTACTTGCAAATCTGTTGAACAGCAGGTTTTCCCCTGTAGGTCCCTTGGGACATCTGATGATTGCTTCCATTCTAACTGTTTTTTGTCTTTTCTATTATCCAGTCCTTTTTTATTCATGAGAGTGCTTTTCCACCTTGTAAAAAATGGCATTTTCAAAGACGTTGTTTGTGGGCTTTTGAGAAAGCTTTTATAATACTCTCTCATCTAATGTGTGTCATATAGTCATATATGACTTCAAAACATGTATGGTCCAGAATTTGTCTACATGAGCCTGCAGATTCAATCTGAATTAAGTTTTAAAGTGGTTTGGTGAGACTGCATTGATTAAACTGAATTAACATGAGATATTTTTGTGCAACATCCAAAGTATGCCTCTTTTGATTTATCTTAATTCATTTTAGCAATGAATGAATGTAAACCAACCTAGCAAGAATTAGCTCTGAGTAAAAATATCTCGGTGGTCTACATTTGTGTATTTCCTCATATAAACAAGTTGCAGTAGTCTCCAAATTAGTTTCTGCCTTTTCTTTTTAGAAAAATAATTTATGTGGGTAAATTGTACCCAGTAGTGATTGCTTTCTGGGTGATGGGAATCTTGTAGTTTTGGTTTTCTCCAGGCTGTCTCTTACAGTACTTCTAAGGCAGTGTTGATTGGGTTTTTTTCTTTCAATAGCTGGTGGATTCTGAAATCCTTGGTTTTCATTACAGACCCATTTCTAGCTCCTTCTAGAGTATGACTGAGACTGTTTTCTGATCTGGAGATGAGGAGAAGCACTTCTTGATGGGATAAAGACAAGATAAAGGGGGAAAATAAGATAGATGCAGTAATTTTGAAGAATTTAATATGTGGAGGAAAATGTGTCACATATGGGAGCAATTAAGAATTACTAATTGCTGGTTTGGTTTGGATTCTGATTACTACATGAGGTGACTGGGAGTTTTTGACACTGCTCTATCCATTCATCCAACAATAGCAAACTTAAGGCCCTCTGCAGTGTTCCTATGTAAATACTGCTTATTGCTATGTTTCTGATATGGCTTCACAGCAGAGGTGGCTTGCTTTCTTTAAGTTCTCCATTACCTCAATGTTGGGAAGGTATCACAAGTTATGATATTCATATGTTGACATGTATTTCATTTCTCAAAGATTCACGTTCTAGCTACATTCTTTTCCGTATGATACACTTTACTAATATATTTTTTAACCTTTATTTAAGTAATTCTTTAACAAATAATTCTCATAATATGATGGGGTTTTACTTGCTCTAATAACTATGCAATGTTTTAGAATTTGAGAGAAACGTGTGGCCTTTGGTACATTGTGTCCAGGGACTCTGTATACTGAACTTGAAACAAATATTGAGCTTGAATAAAAAACAATCCTTTTTTAAAGGAATTTTATGTTTAGAGGTTCAAATAATGGGTGAGTCCTTGAATGTCTACCATCTGGAAACAGAAAGCCCCCAACGCTTGTCTTTTACTCCTGTGCTTTCCTGTATACCTTTCTTCTTGCTGCCAGTCTGACATTTCACATGGCCTTCATCCCTCTTTCCATTTCTGATTCCAGTAACATTTAAAGAATTGGTAGCTAGAGAATTAGATGTCTTTTACAATTTGAATATATCCTGGTTTTGTGACAAATGTGGATAACCAGAATTGGTGGGTTTAAGTTGTACTTTAACGTAGTATCTTGTGTAATAAGGTTAGAGCTTAACTACAATAGCTTTTGAATTGTGCTGCTTAGAGTGATCTGTAAAGTCTTTATGATGTATTTCTGTATCTGCAGTAACCAGACTCTTCGAGGGGAGAGGGTCTGCCTAGTTTTGGGGGGTTGGTTTGTTTGTTTATTTGTTTTTAACCATTTATTTATTTTCCTCCAGGCAGGTAATGGGTTGAAATGGCAGTAGGAACTGCCTTCTGGTACTAAGGCTTAAAATGAGCACTTAACCACTTGCTCAGGGCACATGGAATAAAACATCAGGCAAAGTAATTTACAATCCTGTTTGCCTTTGAGGATAATGCAGAGCAGGGCTGAATAATGAAAGTATTATTTCCTTCATTTTTGTCAATTCAAGGTCCCTACTTAAGCTATGCTAGAAAAGGCACTGAAGGTCTAGAAGTAGCTTCATTTCTTGATTGCTGTTTTGAATGCCCTGGAAACAGCGGCTGCAGGATCATGCACTTGATATTACGTGTTTGAGAACTGGAAGACTGAAACAGGGAAAAAGAAGTCTGAAAATATTGTGTGATTTTAACCCCAGATGAATCCAGTGACACAGAAACATTGGGTTCATCAGTTTGACATCCGCTTTTCATTAAAATGGCTTCCACTCAGGGTTTGATTCAAAAAGTCTCTAATTGATACTGATTCTTATTGCACAAAATTGTGTTTAACATATACAGTATTTACGTAGTAAGCTAACCACCTGGGGAAAAGACAGTCTCATGAGAAATATCATCTGCCTTCTGTTATTGCTGTTTTTCAAATTAGGCTTAATTTATTTTGTATTGTAAAGCTAGCTTATTATTCTAATAATTATATTTTACAAACTGGGAAAAAAATTTACAGAGTAAAACACTGCTTAAATGCACACTGTTTAAATATATTTAAATATGTTTAATTGTGGTTTTAAAGTGTGGTCCTGATTTGACTCAGAAAATTACATCAGTGATGTTTGTCTTCTGTAAGTAAAACAATTACTGAAATTGATCTGGTCTGTGAGGTATTTTTGCTTTATGAAAAAACAATAATAGAAAAGGGGATGTTTCTAATAGGCTGCTGCCCAAACCGTGGTACTTCACGATCTTGTCAGAATTCTAATGTTTTTACAAGTCTGTAATGAAATATTTTAGAAAAATAAATCTAGCATAACTGAAATCTGAAGTTGTCTATATATTCTTATTTGGAGGTGTATCTCTGTACAGCAGGCAACTTGAACTGCTCTAATACTGGAAAATTTAATGTACCACTCAATTACTGTTCTTTAGCCCAATTTAAGATAATAGATGGGGAGTGAGGTCTTAATGCAGTGTAACCTTTGGAACATTAGAAATAACCTCTTTTCCTTCTGAAATCAGTGTACAGTAATGGCATCAGTCTTACCATTTTGCAGGCAACATGTTCTGACTGTGTTTAAAGTTTTTATATTTAGCAGTCGTTCAGTAACTTGTTTCTCTCTCACACACTGTAAATTCTAAGAATTGAAATTTTCTTGTCAATTCACTCAAAAAAATACTAGTCTGAATCTCAATTAATACACATATTTATTTATGTTAAATCACTCTAAATGTTACATCTACCTGAAATATCTTTTCCATGTTTTGAATTGGCATTTATCTATTAATATGATTTTGTTGTTGTTGTTGTTGAATTTCTGTGTTCAGTCTTTGTGATCTGGTTGCTTTCTCTGTCAGCAGACATTCTCCTTTGTTTTACTCATGACATGCTTGTTTATATTTTTGTTGGCATGTGTATTTGTAACAATATGAAGTATAGAGGTAGATACCGTCAAGTTGACTTTATTCAAAGCTGTTCCCAAACTTTTTGGAGCAGTAAGACATCTTTAATCATTAAAATTTCTCATGAATGTAAGTAGTATTTCTTTAGTATGGCTTAGTGAGCCAATTATCAGAACTGTGGACCATAGTTTGCAAATTGATATCCTGGACCTTGATATTTGTGACCTTTTATGAATGTAACTGGAAAGCAGTACTTTCAAATTTTATGTGTATAAAGGATCAGGTACTTAATAGTTGGTCCCCACTGTAATTCTGAGAAACAGAGTTTTGTATGTTAAAACCTGACATTTGCTGAAAAAGAAATTGCGGTATAAAAGATGCTAAGAATTATTTTTTCAAGAACACTAATGCTGAATTTCTAAAGTTTGTTTCTCCTGTGAATCTTACCTAAGGCATAATTTGCAGTTGCTTAAGTGTAAGCTTATGAAAAAAGAATAGAATGCATAGAACTGGGAGTAATTCAAAGTTGGAAGCTTTCCTTTTTTCTGAACTACAGTCAGTCATTTGGTAGAACAGTTATGTTTTTCCCTAATATTTTGACATCTGTTGAACAAGAGTCTCTACAGAACATGACAGAACCACAATATGTAGGCGCGATGTTAAACATGCTTCTGCCTAGAAAAATTTTCTCATCGCAGATTTTCTTCCTTCCTCTCAAGGAAGGAGAATGTTTCTGGGGAGGTATGTAGCACAGGTGCAGTTTTTAATTTGACCACCAGATTATATGGACTAGCTCACCTTTGAGAAGAATGCGTGAATATTATTTCATTTAACTCCTAAGTACTCCTACCTAAATTTGGCATTGAGCTTCTGTTTCTTTCCGTGCTTTTATATTTTGCTTCCTCTCCATCTGTGACAGTACTGTGATTTTGAAGTCTGTGCCATATGCTAGGAATAAATCTAAAAAACTGTCATAAAATTTTAAATAAAAATGAAGGAAAGATAGAAGTAGTCTTAAAGAAATTCTTGAGTTTTTCAATTAGATAAGCAGGATTTGAGCAAGTGTTGGAAACCTTTTTATACGAATATAGTCACAAAAAAGCATTGTTCTATTTCAGCATGGTGTTTACCGTAACCTTGGTGGCAAGAATTCCCAACCATGTTTGAAGGCTTGGATTCACTTTCCAACTGCCACAAGCTTGTAGTGTGAACATGATGCACATCACTTCAGTGCACTTCTGTTTCCATTTCTTCTCTGTTTGTCTTGTCAACTTGTAATGCACTTAATACATGGGGTTTGGGACAGGATCTGTATCTTAAATTGTATGAATATTCAATCTATAACATTGGCCAACTGAACAGTAGTTTATTTTGGTCTCTATTTCTTGCGTGGCAATTGTCTTTAAATAGTATTTTACTGAACACTATTTTATTGTTACTGAACACAGACAGGTACAAGTGCATAATAGTCTTTGTGAATGTGTTAACTTAGAGTGCTCAATGTTTTCTCAGGTTCCAGTAGCCAGAGCCAGCATTCTCTGGCTTATCGGCGAGTACTGTGAATGGGTTCCAAAGATTGCACCTGATGTTTTGAGAAAGACAGCCAAGAGCTTCACTAATGAAGATGACCTTGTAAAGCTGCAGATCCTAAATTTGGGTGCAAAACTATATTTAACAAACTCAAAGCAGGTAAGCATAAACTTATAAGTGTACATATTTAGAGTCACAGCAGATTTTGTATAGTCTGTGTAGATCAGTAGTGATTTCTTTTATATAAGTAACCAAAACTAGTTTATATTATTCTACAGATAAAAGCTGAACATCAGTTTTCAAGAAATCCTGAGAGTCTAAATCTAACCATGAGTCTTTCAGTCTGTAAATATGAACGTAGTGATGACATCACTGTTTTTTGTTTTTTGCCTCTTTCTTCCTAGGGAAATTGCAGATTTTTTTATTCACATAAATAGAAAAAAAAAGTGTAAATTTTATTACTAGTACCAGATAGTAGATTTTCCAGGTGTGATTTCCTGTTTTCTGGTCTAAGACCAGAATTTTCAAAGGAGTTCCCTAAATTTGAACAAGAAGCTGCTGATTTTTTATTCAGAATATTTACAAGGAGATGCCAGCAAAAGGCTCTATTATGTCTTTCCATCAGTAGTCATCTCCTCTTAAAGATGGGTATTTTTTCTGTATTTCTTACTATTTCACTTTACCATGTGGGGGTTGATAATCGCGAGCAATAAAGATAATCTAAAAATGTCAGCTAGTACAAAAAGATGAACTTGGATCTACAGGCAGCAGAAAACAGTGGCTATAGGAGGTGCCAACTGCTTCATTCATCTCAGTGACAGCACTGTGAACTTTGTCACTCTCTGGCTATGGAATATAGCATCTTGACACTAATTTTTCTCTGTAATTCCAGTTATTACTGTAAACGATTGTAAAGTAAAAAGAAATGTCCAAATGTAGAAGAAATACATTATCAGAAATACGTGCTTCCTGGGTTACTAGGCCTCTTTGTCTTACAGCAGCTTGGACAGTATAGAATCTTGTACCTCTGCATCTGTGGTATCGCCTTGTGCTTTGATAGCTCTATCCAGCTGCAGACTTCATCTGTCTGAGTCTTTATTCTTTGAGAGGTGAACTGTCTTGCATGCATGCGGATTAGAATGAATTCTTGTCCTTTGCTTATACAGTCTAAAACTGGGACAATAACAGAAGTGACTTTTTTCTATCATACTTCTCTTCATGAAAATGCTGACTGAGCTACGGGAAAATTGGTTTGATTGTCTAAACTGTCTCTTTTTGGACCATTACATGATATGTACTGATTTTCCATACAATTTTTGAAATTTTACAGTAATTTTTCCACACCATACTTGACAAATCAATTTCCTAGAAGGAGATGATGGTTTCTGTGATGCTCTTTTTCCAGTTTCACATCTTAATACATTTTAAACTGTTCTTGTAAGTGTTGCATAATATTTTATTCAAATACAGTAGTGATGATAAAGCAGAAGAAACTGTCTCCTGATATGCCTGCTTGAATGAATTTTGTCAAAGAATATTTTCCTCTTTTAATGTTTTAGGCTGTGGGAAAATATGTTGTCTTCGCACATGTCCAAGCTACTCATATACTAAGCTGTAACAGAGTAGGTTGATGACTTGGCTTGATTCAAAACTTTGCAAACTAGAATGTAATGGGTTTGCCTTTAGGAGCTGGGAACACTCTTCATATATCTACATACTTATTCGCAGGAGGAGCTCTTCTTTACTTACTCAGTATGGAAACATTTCTTTCTGTAATGACTTCAGTTTCTAAAAAGTCCAGCCATTTTTCAGTCTAATTTTTCAAACTTGAAGGGAGATCTTGTACACTTCACTACTCAGTTTTAGTATGTCCGAATCTCCTGATCTCTGTTTTGTCCCTCTGTATCCCACCCCACTATGTAATAGTTTTTGAATCCTTATCAGTTTCATCCAAAGTCAGTTGGGTTGTGAAAATCTCAAAGATACAATATCATTCTATTGAAAAGTAGTGGTAGGATAGCCAAAAGAGACTTAACACCAACCAGGCAGACAGAAAGAGCTCTTCACTGAGGTGAGGGAAAGACAGGCAAAACTCAACTGTTAAATCATGTTTGGAGAAAAGCACAAAAATCTGGAGGAAATAAGACTTTGTTATTCTTTCCCCTTCTGTAAATATGTTTCCTTACTTTCTTATAATTGCCTTAGCTTATGTTTAAGCACTTAACGCAGAACATTTTTGGGAAAGCTTTATATGATTCAGGATTTTTGTAAGAATTTTCAGTATCTGTGAAATTCTGTGATGACCCCATGAACTCCAAGCCTTTTATAATTTAAGGCAGAGTTTCAGGTTCAGCCCTATCTAGATAAATATGTAATAAGAGCAGGCCTTCCTCTCTCTGGTTGTCTGTGTTGTTTGGTAAACTTGCTTACTTATTTCATCATTTAGGGACATAAAAATCCTCATGAATGTGCTTGATAGATGTGTAAATCTATAGCCCACGTAAGAGAAAGTGTTAAATAGAAAATGTCATCTAATTGCTTTAGCTGTTTCTTGAATATAGTAGAAAGAATAAAGAGATTATGATGGGATTCTGTTGTATAATGCAGCAGAAAGAAGTCACACCAGAAGAAGTCACGAGTAATCCTAGTGTGTAAATAGATATGTCCAACTTGGTTCAGCACAATAGCCTTATCTTGCGTATCTGAACAATCAAGTTACTGCAATGATATCAAAGAGTAGACAGACAGCTGTTTCTCTCCCATTGTAGAGCCTCCTCTGTTGGTGATACTTGTATTATAAAAATTATCCAGTGGGGATCTACCAATCCTAATATTGGATAGGCATTATGTTATTCAAGAGAAGTATTGCCACTAGAAAATTGTGGAAATACTGCTGAGGGATGACTTGAAGCGTACTTTTCATATTAACCAAATGTAAGTGTACAAAAAATAGTAATAGCTTCTAACAGTGTGAAGATTAAAGAAATTATATTATGCCTATATAATGAGCATGTTCAGATAGGCAGTGTTGATGTATGATAATAAATGTATTATAACATATATAAGAATACTTTTGCCTTACTGAACAGTCATGGTGTGTAGATTCTGTCATATTTCACCAAAATAATGTGCTTACTGAAATAATTTTCAACTTTTTATGGATATTTCTTTGTTGGAAAAACTGATGTGTGTTTGTTAAGGGGGTTTTGTTTGTTTTTTTGTTTTTAATTAAAATTAATTATTAGAATAATTCTATTAGCTATCTCCATGTAGAAAAGCTCTGCTACTTGTTTGGTTGCATTGCTGTAAGGGGAAAAAAGTGTTTTCGTGCTCTTTGTACTGTATATGATGCTTGCAAGGAGGCTTCTTGAAGATATGGAGCCTTCTTAGTTAAAATATTAAAAATTAACTTCCTTATGATGGTATATTATTTTTGTTCTTTTTCTGGTTTGCTTGTCTATAAAGTGGCATACCTCTTCCTAAGGTATATAATGGTTACAAGTCCATTCCAGCAACATTGTTCTGGTTACACTATGTTATTACTAAGATGCTGGGAAAGTCTCCCTAATGTTTTTATACTCCTTGCCCCCCCCCCCCCCCCCTTTTTTTTTTCAGTTTTAAAAATTTAACTGAATTATTTAAATTATTTAATACATGTTAATTTTCTCAGACATCAAATTAGGAAATCCTATTACGCCGTAAAAAGCTGTGATAATATAAATTGCTCTCTTACATAAATAAATAAATGACCGATATTGCTGGAGGCTTTAAGCTTCAAGGAAAAAAATAGAAGAAGTCTTTTATCCTGGTTTTTAGAGGGCATCAGCAGCTTGCTTTTATGAAAAAGTAACAGCTAAATGCACTGCAAATAATTTGCAGTAATCCAGTTCAGTGATTCATGTGTCTGCTTTAATGGGTCATAATTCAGGATAAAGTAACTGAGTGCAGTCAGAGTGCAGACACTGCTTATGCCAGGGACAGTATCTCTTCATAAAACACACCTCAGCAGAAGCAGTTTGCCAGCCCCCTAATACCCTCTGATGTTTTGATGTCCTGCATATTTTTCCGATTAAGTTTTGAGTGCCATGTTTTTAGTTGTATTTCCACATTCATTATCCTCACGTAGACCCTTCAGTGGGTTTGCCATATATGATTATTTTTTTAATGATGCCTTTCTTTCCACTTCAGCAGTTTAATAATCTAGCACATGGCTGCTTCTCAGTACTCAGCATTCACCTCCCCAATACAGAAGAGGACATGTGCTTTGGCTGCAGAATTCCATTTGCAGCTTTAGAAATGCATATTCCCTGTGGAACAACATTTGTTTGACATAACCATTCATTTTTATTACCTCTTTAAATATGTTTATCCAGAGTTATCAATAATCATAAATAACTTGTATTCTGTTCTTGTCCTGTTTTTTTCCACAGACAAAATTGCTTACCCAGTACGTATTAAATCTCGGCAAGTATGATCAAAGCTACGACATCAGAGACCGTACAAGATTTATTAGGCAGCTCATCGTTCCAAATGAGAAGAGTGGAGCTTTAAGCAAATATGCCAAAAAAATATTTCTGGCACAGAAACCTGCCCCATTGCTTGAGTCTCCTTTTAAAGGTATAAGTGCCAAAATCATTTGGTAAATGTTCATTGTGTAAAGGAATGTGGCAGCCTGTCCTATTTCGATTATGCTTACTAATTGTGTTACTTAGGAAATACAAATTATTAATATGCAAGTGTACTCACTCTGCTTACTTGCTCTATGCAAGCATGGTTTACGTGGCACAAACACAGTGTGTTTCTCTGATGCTAAAACCTGACAAACTGATCCATTTGTGCTCTTGTGGATTTTAAATTTGATTTAAATAACAGAAGGTGTTTCTTTTGAGGAAAGTGATTCCTCAATTTAGGAAAATAGCTCTCGTCTTTTACCTGGATTTTAGTAGAAGATTGTTAATGTGAATATTGCAGATGTTTTGTGAATCGGAAATAAACTGAATCTCAATAGATTAGGTTTTTGTTGTTTTTCTTCAAAGTCATAATTTTCCCTGTGCATTTTTCTTATCCTTTCACAAGTAAGAACCATTATCTGTCATCTCAAGATTAAAAGGTTATCAGGTTATCTTAATTAAAAATGCTCTGTTATTGTGACAGTTTGCAATTTAAATTTTCATATTTACTTAGTCCCAGTTTTGAAGCTATAAGAGGAGCTCCATTCTGAAGAAAAACTATTAAAATTCTGGATGTGTTTGTGCCAAGACATGTATATGGATTGTTTAACTGTGCTGTCATTCTTAATATTCACAGTAAAGTAATTTTTAGAGAAGCTACATTTCAGAGCAACACCTCTAAACACACTGACTGATTAGCTTTTTTATTGACCATTATGGGAGAGATTATTGTAATCTATGGACTGAAATCAGTTTTTTGACCTATGAAGAGCTTCCTAGTTTATATTTATTTCATGACATTTGAGGTAATACAATGGCAATTACCTTTAGCCCTGATTAAGATTGCTCTTTGTGGTAGAGCTCATGGTGTTTGTATCTTTCTCTCCTTCCCCCCCCCACCTTTTTTTTTTTTTTAATAGGTAGGGATCATTTCCAGCTTGGCACTTTGTCTCACACACTGAACAGCCAAGCCACTGGCTACCTGGAGCTGTCTGACTGGCCAGAGGTGGCGCCTGACCCCTCCGTCCGAAACGTTGAAATAGTTGAGTCGGTACGTCAGCATCATTAGAAGTAGCTTCACTTTGCTAGAAGGCACTCATTATAGAGTATTAGCCTAAAATACAAGTATTTAAATCCTGTCTGTATGCTATACTGAAAAACTTTGATGCGCAGGAGTATTTGTATTGCTTATTTTACCTTGGAAACATGCACAGTGCTTGCTCTTTGCACTGGGAGAAGTGGATCAACTGTAGACCACTTCTGCTTTGCTCGTGGATTAAATGGGCTTTTTTCCGTCTCCATCTCACTTTTGATTTCATACCTCTGTTCTTTGTATCTCTGACTGCTGTGCTGTAGTTTGTTAGATGTTGTTAATGATGAGCGTAACACCTACTAAAGTAGATGAGTAGTTGTGTACAAATCCAAGTCTAAACAGAAAAGAAAAAAGGTAATATAAACAAAAGGCAGCAGCAGGGAAGGAAACTATGTTTGGAAATTTAAAGTTTCAAAGAGACCAGTGTTACGTTTCATATCATCTGGAGGTAATTATGAAAGTTTATAATAGAAAAATGTCACCTTTTAGTGCATTCAGATCATTTGTTGACATTACATGGCTGGTCTTCTACTGTCAATGGCTTTTTGTTACTGGACTGTAAACTCTGAGGCAAAGTTATGTTGTGGTACCAAAGCTGTGATATATGCCTCAGGTTCCAGCATCCTACTAAATGTCACTAAAAGCTATTAAACAGTAACAGAAATGTAAATGTATTGGAATATAGTGTGATTCCAGAGGTATATCATTGTAATAGGTATACCCAGAAAAGCACATGGTCCTTGTCATGAACCAACTTCTACAGTTAACTGCACATGAATTAATTTGCAAATAAGATGTTAGGCATAGAATATAGAGAAGATTCTAAAAAGTAGGTGTAACTTGCAGAAACCAGTGAACAGAAATGTGGTAGAACAAGCATTTCCCCTTTGTACTTTAATGTTACTTGTCCGCCTTCTTATATACATTTCAGGAAAAGAGGTATTTGTGTACAGACTTCTGAAAGCTTTTATGGGAAGAATCTGAAGGCATTCAGCTCAAATGGAGAACTATAAATGATAGGGTTGGCACAAAAGAACATGTAATGGTGCCTTTGTGCCCCCTCCAAAAAAAATATTTTGCAGGAAATTGATCAAATGGAGTAACATCCATGTACAAGATAATAGAAAACATCTCCCTCCAGTCATTTAATCTCAAACCAAACATGAAAATCCTTTCCTTTTTTGTTTTTTTTTTCCTCCGCCCCAGGTATATTCTTTGGAGAGTCTACTCATTGTCATGAATTTTACTGTATGCCTCCGCAATGTATATGACTGAAGCTTGAGTTAAACTGTCATTTACATCCAAAAGAATATTGGCCTTTTAAAATGCCAGTTGCTGGGTGAAACATCAGAAAGCATTAGCAGCTTTTGGTGTTGGAGAGGAAGCCAGTGTGTCTCTAGAGCCATACACCATTGCAGGTTGCTGTTAGAGCTCTTTCAAAAGTTCATCTTATTCCAGATCACAGCAGTCACTGAAGCAGACCTGTATCACACCATGTATAGTTTTCTGCCTATTTGTTCAGATGTTTTTTGCTAGCTTGAGTTTTTGTTTTGCTTCTCTAGTAGTACAGGGGAATACAGAAAGAAAAAACAGTATGGCCAAAGTGTTGACGCATTCTGGTATTCTCTTGGTGGTAAGAGTTACTTTTATTTGGAGAATTGCAAAGAAAGTGAAATACAATTCCTCTGTGGTTGCTGGAACTTCTGCTGCTTACTGGGTCAACTTCTGTTTTCCCCTTAAAATTTGGGATTATAAAGGTGGCGATTAGCCATATTTACCCTTCATTCTAGTGATAGGCTAAACTTAGCTGTATCTAGAGATAAAACTCTCAGACTTCAGGTTCTTTTGGCATAAAAATGTATATATGATTACTGATGCTTTTAATCTGCTGTAGTAAATCTTTTTCTAGATTCTCTAATAGACATATCCCACCTTTTATAGGTACATACAAAACTTCTGGTTCTCCTGTTTGTGTAAAGTAAGAGAAGTTTAATAGTTTCTCTTCACTTGTTTACAGGATTTATTTTAGGAACTGCTGAATACTTCTACTGCAAGTGTTTTTCTTGGCCATGTGTATCTTTTTTGTATTGCTGGTGGTAAAAGTAAACTTACATTGAAATGTATTTACAGGCAAAGGAATGGACTGGAATTCTGGGTAAACCAAAGAAAGTGAAACCTACTGAAAAGTTTTACTCTGAATCAGAAGAGGAGGAAGATGAGTCTGCCGGTACCAATTCATCAGGTAGGTATTTGGAAAGCAACTTGCATCTTTGCTGCCTGAAGAACCGTATCTTCAGAACGGACCTCTGCTTAAAAAAATTGAAAAAGTTGCAAAAAAAAAAAATCCAGAGCTGTATATAAAATAAGGAAATCAGAGGCAAAAGTTCACTGAAAATGAGTGTATACACAGCTACAGTGAATACAGTGATGTATTAGCAGTACTGCAAAATTAGCAATAACTAATACAGATAGGTCTTGTGTATGTATTTAACGAATTACTTTGCTTGTTTCCCAGATAAAAAAGCTGGCATGCTATTTTCATCCTGCTTTGAGTCTAGTAAGAGTGATGCGAGTTTGTAACTCCAAGTAAAACTAAAGGCACCTAACTTTTTGGGGGAAAAATGCCCATATCCTTGTTTGTTGGGAACTGTAAGTCTTGGGTGTTTTTTGGATTTCATCACGGGTGAAGTACTATTTGGATATCATGTGCTGCTCTGTTAAATGAATGGCCAAACTTCTTTAACTCTGTAGTCTTTGATGGGGTTTATTCAGTAAATTGTGTTATAGTATTGCTCTCAAGTTTGACACGATGTTTTCTATTTATTATAATGGGAGTCATGATGGAGAAAATAACTGACATCTGCTGTTTAAGTTCAGTGAGCAAAGATTCCTTTGACCAGTCTCCAGATATCTTAATGCTGGACAGGCAGTTCCCCAAGACAGCCATTTCAGTAGGTGTAATATAGTTCAGGTGTAATGAAGAACATCATTCTCCCAGGTCCAGACTTGAGGCACACAAAATGTTTAACATTAGAGACTTTAAAGAATTGTTCCATTTAGTTGAATGGAAGAAGGGCACCTTAAAATCTGAACACAGAGGTTCTTCCCTCTCATTTCTAAACAGAGTATGCAGAAGTGCTTAAGAATTGTATCACTGAAATTAATGATGTCTGAAGCAAGATAGGAATATAGTCACTTCAGATATTTGAATATTTGGTAACTGTATGATTGATGAATCAGTGATTCAGTCATCATTATCAGTATTCAAGAGCCTAATTAGGCAGTTGTTTGAAAAGATAATCTTGCACTGAAGTGAATGTATAGGTTAGAGAATCTGAGGTCATCTCTGACTTCTGGAAGGGTTATGTAATTTTGAAGAGCCACATGCAATTAGTTTATTATTTGGCTTTCTAATTTGCTAAAGTATATAGGCTGAAGAGGACAGGGCTTTAACCAACAAAATTTTGTGAATGTCGGGAGAAAGTTACTGTCCTACCTGCTGTTGACACAGAGGAAATAATGCTAAAGCTTTCAATTGGATTGTAAAATCCTAAAACATTGTTTTATTTAAAACAAACTTGGATTCCTAAAATACTTACTAGGTAAGATATTAAGAAAAAGAATGTAAGAGTTGGTTTTATTTCAGAGGGTGAGACTGGCAGTGAAAGTGAGGAAGAAGATGATAAAGAGGAAAGCAGCAGCAATGAGAGTGGTGGGAGCTCCTCTCCCAGTGAAGAATCAAGTGACAGTGAATCAGGCAGCAAAGAAAGTACTGCAAAGAAAACATCTAGAGCTGATAATGAAAGGTAGGTATACATCTCTATGTTTTTAATTTTTTGTGATGCTAGCTGTTCACCATGCTTCCTATAAACAGTCTGCTAAGCAGTTAATTAGGCTTTTTGGGGGGTGTAAAGGCCAAGAAATGATGTCTCCTGTTTCAGTGTCTGTCAGTAATATTCAGTGTATGAACAGGGTTTATATTTTCATATTAATCAGACTACTCTTAGTTTGGAATTAATTTCTGACTTCAGTAAAATCTTGGGTGGCTTTTTAAAAATTGATGTAACCTTGGGAGGCTGAATAAGCGATCAAACAGTTGTGTGAAACACATAATGACCTTTTGCAGCAATTTTGCTGAGAGTAAAATTAAGTCCTTCAACACTTTGCCATTATATAACTAAGACAATTGATTTTTCTAAATAATATTATATTAAAAAGATTATGATCCAAATATTCGAGGCAAGGGCTGTGAAGGGAAACGGTCATGATATTTAAGTGTTAGCGCTTTTTGAGATTGGCCATTATCAACAATATTATCATGTATTAAAGTATCATTAAAATTTTGAGTAATTGGGGCTAATACCTTGGATTGTGTGAATCTGTTTCTTCCACTGCTGTCAGCAAGTGGCCTCTGCAGACATGATCACCCTTTACTCTGTAGTCTGCTGCCAGCTCACTTGATGAGTTTGCAGCTCAGCTCAGTCGTGGCTGACAGCGCTGATTGGGGCGCAGTACACACTCTGCTCCTTTTATTACAGACAGTAATTAAAGCAGCTTGCCTTGCCACTTCCATAACAAACACAGCGTAATGCCCTAATTATGACTTTATTAATTTAAGTCAGGATTTAATGATTTTAAAAGTGATTTATATTGTTTTTCCTGTTCAGAACAAATGAAATCTGTAGGTTAAATTAATACAGGCTTTTCATCATTGCAAAGTTAAAGATCTAGTTACCAGTAAATTCTTTTTATTAGAATAACATCTGAAATTTTAAGCAGTAAGGTAAACAATGATTACCCATCAAAAGTGGCTGATGTATAATAAAGTAACACTTTAGTCTTCACATCTCGTCTTAGAGATAAGTGAAGAGCAATTGCTGAAAACCAACTTAACTGCGTTTATATAATGTGTTCACCATAACTTCTTTGTTGGTGCAACTAGAGTTTCTTTTCAGTGGCAATGAAGGAAATGTAGATAATTTTGTCAGTATCTGTGTTATACATCATGAATAAGAGAATTTAAATGGTGTTTGCTAGTGAATTTTTATGTTTAGTTCATTGAGCTCAACCAAGTTTTTAAAAGTTGTCAAATTTAAATGTAATTTTGATTTTAATAGTACCTGTTTTTTCACCATGATTTTAATAATCAGGTCTGCTACACTGGATTATTTTTTGTGAAGTGTGTATTCTTTCAGTTTTAGCTTTGACAGCTTCAAGTTTCTTGTTTTCCAAATATAATGCTTTTCACTAGAATTTGCAGGATTGATTTCAACTTCAGTTACATAGGTAGGCAATATTAGCATGGCTTAAATGTTAATACTGATTTTTAATAATTTTGATTGAACATTATTTGGGCAATTCAGTCCTGAATAGCTCTTGAGAGGAGGAAGGCATTGCCCTATTTTTCTTTCTGTCATGTTTTCGGTTCTCCTCTTTTTCCCTTCTAAAATCACTGCTATCTCAAACAGTAATGCAGCATAGTACATTCTTTTCTACTGCTTCTAAAGCTAAGCAGAAATGTGTAACAACTTAATTTGAGTCCAGAGGGACTCTTAGTAGTTGAGTGGTCTGGATTTGTTTAATTATTGTTGACCTTGTTACCCTTCAAGCGCTTTAGTAACCAATTTATTGTCTTGGGGCAGTAGCTGAATCAGGTGGTATATGAAACACCTGATTTGGAAGTATAAAATGGTTGCCTGCAGGGCCAAGAACAGAGGGTTTTTTTCTATATGCAACACTAATTTACCTGCTTCATGATAATTATTAGAGAACAATTTTCATTTATTGTGATAATTCTAGGTGGTAGCTTCCCCCACCCCGAGACAAAATGGTGATCTGTAATTGGCAGTTATAGTGTTATTAGAAGCAAAGAAGGCAGAGTTTAATAATATTCAGTAGCTGTTAGTGCAGAGCAACATAATACAACATTGCCAGGGTGAACAGAACTTTACTGTGGGAAGAATAGTGTGTCTGAAGTCCATTGCTGTAAGGTACTCAATATGACCAGAGGTTTCAGAATGTAGTAGCTCTTCTGTATAAACCCTTTAATGGGTTGAAATATTTGTAGACACTACAGGTCTTATTTCTAGGATGTTTCATTTAGAAGAATTAATGAAGAAATAAATTCAATGCATTGATTTTATTTTTTTTTAAGCAACATTACTTTGCAAAAACATCTTATAACCCTTCAAGATTCTGTTAATCATAGGTGGAATAGACTGAAAGTTTATTTATATAAAAGGGTGTCTGCACTTCTTTCTGAAATGTCCCAAGCACTATGCATGCAAATAATTTTAATATTTAATGTTCACATTTTTGTTTGGCTGTTTCATTGGTTTAGATTATATGTGATGATTTCTTTTGTAACATCTTAGCTGAGCTTTTTATCGTAAACAAATACTGATTAAAAATCCTTTAAAAAAAGACTTCAAAATGTTAACATGATATCTTGCCTAAGCAGATTACTTTGGTGGTTTTACATGTCTCTTAAGTTGTGTTTTCTTAATGTGTAGTGATTCAGAGGACACTGAAAAGAAAGCAAAGGGGAACTCCAAAAAGTTAAGCACATCCAGTTCCTCTGTTACGGAATCTGCTTCATCAGAAGAAAGTTCTTCAGATTCCAAGTCAGAATCAGATTCTAAAAGTGACTCTCAGTCTGGAAAATCAAGAAGTACTACCACTAGTAAGGTAAAATAAGGTTTTTTTTAAATGCCCTATAAAATAATGGGAAGATGCATCTAACCCTCCATATGTGTTTCTTTCTGCAGGAATGGAGATAGTAGTGGTTTTATGGCTATCTAAAAACCCAGAATGTCTGAAAAAAAATTTTGACCTTTCATAGAAAGATCAACATTCATAGAATCATAGAATAGTTAGGGTTGGAAAGGACCTTCAGATCATCTAGTTCCACCCCCCCTGCCATGGGCAGGGACACCTCATACTAAACCATATCACCCAAGGCTTCATCCAACCTGGTCTTGAACACAGCCAGGGACGGAGCGTTCACAACCTCCCTTGGCAACCCATTCCAGTGCCTCACCACCCTAACAGGAAAGAATTTCCTCCTTATATCCAATCTAAACTTCCCCTGTTTAAGTTTTAACCCATTACCCCTTGTCCTGTCACTACAGTCCCTAATGAAGAGTCCCTCCCCAGCATCCCTATAGGCCCCCTTTAGATTCTGGAAGGCTGCTATGAGTAGTTTGATAGGTAAAGCAAATAAGAATATTTTAAAATGAAAAGAATATTTCAGTTTTAATTCTATTTTTACTTCAGATACATGAAGAATAATAGAACATTATTATTTTTTAATGAAAGCAGGGTAGTTTGCAAAAGTAATATTCTGATTCGGGATGATTATTATCTTGAAGTATGATTACTAGAGAACCTGTATCTGACAGTGAGCAAAGCCAAGAAACAAATGTTAGTATATTGTTTCATGAGAGTTTGAAGACATTGTAATAGAACCACTAGCTGCTTTTAAAATTTCCTATTAAAATTAAAAGTGGTTCTGTTCATGCATCTTTACTGGAGGTGTTTACATAAATTGTAGAATGAGTATTCTTAAGAGTAATTAACTTTTTATTGCTTGTCTCTGATAGGAATAAAGCTTAAAACTCATTGCGTTACTTCAAATTGTATTATCTTTCTTACAACATTGATGAAGTAGAAAACTTTCAAATGTATCTTTTTAAAATTGGATTTGGAAATGTTTGAAGAAGCAAAAATGTTCCACAGAACCATTCATGTGTCAATTTAGATTTAATTCCTTACCTTAGTAAAGAAAAGGAGGTTAAAAGCTCACTGTATTCAAGCTACCATTATGAAGCTAAAGCTTATAGCATGAATTGGTTTCTGTGTCTCTACCTTTCATTTAAAAAATAAATGGAGAAATTTGTGCTTAATCTACAAGGTAGAAGAGTAAAAATTTCTGAAACTTACTTTTTTGTTGTCAAATATTTCTTGTGCATTTATTTCTGTATATTTTTTTTAAAAAAAAGGTAGAACTGTAGCTCAAAAGTTTCCATTTTAATACCAATATGTGGCTTTGAAAATTAATACTCTGATTTTGGATTAAGCCAAGACATTTCATTCAGGATTACTGTATAGAATGATGAATAATCAAAACAGTCATTGTTTGTTGCATTTGATGCAATTGTAGAAGCTGGTGAACAGGTGTGTCTTGAAAAATTGAGAGGGAAGGCTGTAACTTTATTAAGCTGTTTCAGTGTGCATTTCTTTTAATTGAGGAAATAAGGTTCTCTGTTTCTCTAAATGGTGAAATTGTGTTGTCCATGGTCTTTGTTTTCTAACTTTATAGCTCTGTGTAGGAATTCTGTGTAGTAACCTTAATTTTTAATCTATTCCCTTTATCAAGTAGAACAAAAGATGAAGTGAGACTATAGCATTTGAGAAGTGGATTTGTGTTTCTACATTTTGGTCATTGTTTCCTTCCCAAATACCACACTGGATAATGCATCTATGACAGTTTTTTCTAGTAGAGTAGGCAAACTGAATCTTGCTAAAAAATAGTCACGCAAGAAATACAACCTAAATCTTCTCAGAGTAAACCCCTTTGGCACTAGATGGGATGTTAAATAATTCTAACAGCAGCTTCTAATATTAGCACAGTCTTTTTTTCACCAGAAACTAATAGGTCCTCTGACATGCTTAGTTTTGAGCAGCCAAAGCAACACCATGTTCAGAGAGTAATGTCTGCTCTGTGCTGCATTGTCCATTTTTCTCAGGGTATCAGCGCCATTGTCCATGATTTCTTTCTCTACAGTTACGTAAACCTGTTTTGTTCTTTCACACGATATTTGAGGACTACTAGCATAAAGAAACTTTTTGTATTTTAAAACAGCAGTCAAAAATGCATGAAGTCAAACACGCTGAATAATGCGAATGCCCAAGAAGCTTAGGATTTTGTTGATGTCAATGGAAAATTGTCAAGCCCTTGGATTTTAAGAGAAAGAATGCTACAGTAGTCCTGAAAGCTTACTTGATTAAGAAGCAATTGATAATGAACTGTGAAGAGCATTAAAGATCATAGAATCATTGAATGGTTTGGGTTGGAAGAGACCTTGGGTAGGGTCACTCTCTACTAGACCAGATTGTTTAAAGCCCCATCCAACCTGGCCTTAAACACTTCCAGGGATGGGGCAGCAACAGCATCTCTGGGCAGCCTGTTCCGGTACCTCACCACCCTTATAGTAAAAGATTTCTTGCTAATGTCTATGTAACTCTCTCCTGTTTCACTTTTAAGCCATTCCCCTTTGTCCTGTCGCTACATTCATTTGTAAGAAGTCCCTCCAGGTTTCTTGTAAGCCCCTTTAGGTACTGGAAGCTGCCCTAGAAGTGTCCCTAGAACCTTCTCTTCTGTGGGCTGGACAAGCCCAACTCTCTCAGCCTGTCTTCTTAGGAGAGGTGCTTTAGCTCTGTTATCATCTTTGTGACCCTCCTGTGGGCAGGCCTGTGTCCCTCCTATGTGGAGGGCGCCAGAATACAGCGGGGTCTTGTTTTGAGGTACATTTCTTTTTCAATTTTGTTTTGAGCCTTTATTTTGAGGTACATTTTACAAGAACCACCATTTTTATTTTATTTACAGGAAAATCTTGGAACTTTTCTATTTCTTACCTGACTTCTTTTCAGGCTACCCAGGAAGCAGATGGTTTCAGCCAGGCTCTCATAAACACGTGATTTCATTCTGGTAGAATTTTATTGGAAAAACTATTACTTACTTCTGTTATTCTGCTACAGGGTGTTCTTAATTCTGTCAGTATATATGGGGAGATGATTCATTAGGATTTCCTTTCCTTTTAAACAAATTATTTTCTGAATTGCATATTGATGAGAGGAGTAGTTAGTAGGCTTTATTTTTATTGTTTCTCAGTTTGCCCAAATGATGTATGCTACATGTATGTGGATGTGTTTTGTTGGGTGCCATTGCCATTTTCAACAGAATTTTCATCATTAAAAAGGTTCGATTACACTCGTGGGAGCTTAATTTGTGCATACATCCATGCATTTATTAACATTAAAATTGGTTAAAAAAATTTCAGGGTTTTTTTTCTGCATATATTATTGTTTTTTTTTCTTAAAGAATCATTTTGTAAAAGCTGTTGTGCTCACTGTAATTGAGTGAATAGAAAAGTCACTCTCTTGTACTGCAGTGTTCTATATTATTTTGAAATATGGATAGTTTGAGGTGTTCAGATACGTATTATACTGTAAGCATAAATACTGTAGAGCTAAAATGCAGATTTGCAGATGATGCATGTATAAGTAGGTGTCTCTACAGTGAGATTTTAAAATCAGCTAGTGTTGACCTCCTTATATAGGTATAATACAGTCACTCAGCTGTTAAAAACCTGATCCACTATTTAAAAAATATACAAAAACAAATTGTCTATCTTTCTGCCTGATCTCTTTTCAAGTGCTAACACAATGGAAACAGTGGGTGATCTGTCAATGCATTTGGATTGTCAGTGATGGTTTTGTATAAATATTGGGAGGATAAGAAATAAAATTGCACAGCAAAATATGATTTCATCTGCCTTTTCTCTGCAGCTCCATGGCTCATGCTGCGGTGTGAAATTCTCATTTTACACACTTTGCAGGCAGAGTACATGAATTATGCATTGAGCAAGAGAAATCTCCTGCTTCAAGTTCTATATGCATTTACCAGGTTCTATCTCTATTACCAAGATGAATTGCAAATGGAGAAATGTTTGATGGTATATAGCTTAACTTCTTTGTTTAGTATTCTGCTTTTCCCATAGTGGGCTCTTATGGTAGGAAACTGTTTGGGTTATAGTGTAGACATAGTTTTAAGAAAAAAAAGATTAAAAAAATATGTTCCAAAGAAATGCCAGACACGTCAGAGTCTTTTTATTGTCTTGATTTAGAATGCAGAGCCTTTTTCATTCAATAGAAATATCTGTTGGTAGTGTTTGTTGCAGTCATTGGTTACTCATTATTCCTAGAAAGCCAGTCAATTTTCTTTTCTTGGAAAAAGTGTATTAAAAATAATCCTGTTTGTAATAGGCAAGACTCCTGTAAATAGATTTCTTTAGTGTTTTGTACAGAATTGAGCACAATATATATGCACTCATCTATTTAGAAATATTCATATAAAAATATGTTTATGTGTGTGTGTAGCATGTGTACACATATAAGTAGCTGAGTATTTATTTAAGCTTGACACACTTGACTGAAGTAGAAAATAAGTTGTGATCATACTTAATGTTAGCTTTATCTTGATTTAGTTAGCATGCAATTTTATATTTCCCAGATGGTGGGGTTTTTTATTTGTGGCTGGTTTGGTTGGGTTTTTTTTTGTTTGGTTGTTTTTTGTTACAGTAAACTGATGTATGTAAGTACAGTATTCTGATAGTGTGCAGTGAAAGGTTTTCTTACCATGCATTACCTTGATGTAATGATTCTGTACTTGTCCCTTATCTTAGGACCATTTTATTTTGTTTTGAAGTATAACAGATAAATTCTCTTGAAGGATTTTTCCCCGTTTTTAAAGCTGAATTATGTAGTATATCAGAAATGCATTTTCTATATCAAGCTTTGTAACAACTAACTTAATAACTGCAATAGAATGGCAAAATGAATAACAGGAAAAAACAAACTGAAGCATTCTGTTGGTGTTATTTGTGACATAGAATGTCCCATCTTATTTGTCTTTAGTAAACAGGTTAACAGTAAGAGGATTTCTTGGCTCTGAGTCCTAATTTTTTTAAACATCTTGACCTAGCAATGCTGACATTTGCAGAACTGAAGCATATTCAAAATTCTCATCTTTGTGCTATAGCCTCTCATGTGGTTGAGCCACTTTTTACAGATTTTTAATTGGCTGTATAATAAAGGGATTGGAGAAATCCCATATCCCATCCGGAATAATTAGCAAATATAGAATTCTGACTAAAAACAACCTTTGAACCTTAATCATGGTTGGAGATAGAACTATGTCTTAAGGATAAGTGGGGATAAGGAATGAAAGAGTTCAGAAATTGAGTGAATATATTTGCATTTTCTTTAACAGTGTTCTCTTTTAGTATGTTCTGATGTCTTAAGAGTTTGTAGTTTAGCAAAAAACTTGTGATACATAGTGTATTGTAAAAGCACTGCAGGTAACAGCCTAACTCCTGATTTAGGGCTAAATATTCACCAAATGGTGCTATAAAAAGACGTGGAATTCATGAAAATAATTGTCATGAAATCTTTTTGCTGGCACTTCATTGACATGAGTAATTCTACTCGAACATGTAGCTTATGAAGTATACTATTCATCCTTATTTCAATGATTTATTTAAAAAAAAAAAAAAAGATTGTTTAAAGAAGCTGAATGACTTGACAGTGATCACAGTGAAAGTGAAAAATGAAATCTGGTAGTTGTGACCAGAATGAAACTCGAGGTTCATGAAGCAGAATTGCTCACTAATTCTGGACAGGGCATATAAGGAATGGAATACCATTAGCACCATTTTAAATATATTTTGTAAAATTTCCTTTGTCCAGAAGAGTTTTGTGTTTCAGATAAATAAGCAATAGTGGAACACTCAGTATTCATAACAGTAACAACCATTTAAGTGTGTTGATTAAACATGATTTTTTAAGTAGTGGCTTCCATTCTCTGTTCACAAGATTCTTCTCCTAGAATATCTAAAGTCCATATGTAATGATCACATAAATGACTACTGTCTATTTGAGCCATGGGTTTATTGGAAGAAAATGATGAACAGTGGGAGTCCATATTGAGTTGTGACATGCTAAATTCTGTCCTGAATCATCACTGTCTAGACATCTTCTGTATGCATCATGAATACTCGCTCTTATTAGATTTGTTTTGAACTGCTTATTAGCTGAATTGAAACAAATTTTATTGAAATATTATTTGCCAAGTCACTGAGATTACTCTTCTTACTGCTCTACTCTTTACATAAAGTACTGCTGATTGTTATTATTATTAGAACTTGATCCTAAGGCTTAAAATAGAAACTCTTTTTGGAGACAAAAATCAATGTTTTGTCAATCTTCCAGCAATTAAGTAAAATCCCAGTAGATGATCGGACAGGATTCCATACTCCTAGATAAGAGCAAATAACACAAATTTCTTACTGAATGGACTTTTTTCTGTTTTTCAGATGGAAACAGAAATGTTAGTACCAAAGTCTTCAAAAAGAAAAAAAAAAAGCTTCTGTCTCTGTTTTAATAGTCTCAAATGAAGTGTTTTCTTTGAGTAACAACTATTATTAAGAAAAATGGGGTTTAGAGGAGTAAATGTAAGTCAGATGTGGTGTTTAGGCTTTGTACAGCATAACTGTACAAAGAAATCTTTCTTACTCGGTGAATTCTCTGAATGCTGAGCTCTGAAAATGAATGCATTTTTTTTTTACAGCTGAGAAAATTCACTTTGCTTCATGAAAGTATTAAAATTGTTTGGGGTTTTTTTTGTTTTTTTTTTTTTTGCTGATACTGTAAAGGATTAAATATTCATATATTTTAACAGAAAGAAGAAAAAACAGTACAAGATAGAAAACCTCCAAATAAACAAGACGTGTTTCTCTTAGATTTAGATGATTGTAAGTATCTTAATTAAAGGCTAACTTTTCCCATGACATAAATTCAATTCTGTTAATTCAATGAATTTTAAATGTGTGAAACACTGATTCTGTTCATCTATCGTAGCAGCTTCCTGACAAAAAAAAAAAAAAGAAAGCTTAGACTGTCAACTTATTTTGAAGCACAGTTATTACAATAGGTGATTCTGTTTGTTTGGTTTGGACCTGAGAAACGGTTTCAAAATTCAGAATATATTGATATAAAAGATTTATTTTAAAAATTGTTGTATGTTTGGACTTGTTTTTCGTTAAAGTGAGCTTATTTTCTCAGGTGCCAATGGATGTTACTTGCACATCATCTCTGCAATCTGTGAACCATTGTGATACTATAATAAGATGCTAAAAATCACAATTTTGAAGAACAGTAAAATATAATCTTGGAAGGGTAGGGTAGAGGTGGCACTCGTTTTTGGCTATGCTCTGTAGTGCCATTCTTCATGTTTGCTTCTCTGGGTGCAATACATGTTAGAATTGTGTTAATGTGTACTTTGCACATAACTTGTAAATGAAAATGTGCTGCGTAGTATGGATTAGGCTGAAGGTTGAAATAGAGGAAAAAATCGGAAAAGAGGGCAAAATACTTTTAATGTGAATAACACGTCTATGTATCAGTTTTATTTATATTTTCATTGTTTGAGTGTTGGTGCTATATGTCTGAAAAAATAATCTATTAAGAAACACGTATACAAGGATAAAATAATTGTATCAACACTTAAAACCTTTTTGCACTTAATAAAAATAGCACGTTGTCATTTCAAGTATTTTAATTTAAAAAAAAAATAAATATCAATTGCCTTCCTATTTCTAGTCTGTCCTGTGAGAACTCCTGTGGCAGTTCCTACAGCAGCTGTTTTGTCCCCAAGTTTAACAGCAGACCTAGAGGGATTAAGTCTGCCAACTTTATCCATCATTGATGTAAGTAGCTTTTAAAAAAATGGGTTGTGTGGATGAATGTGTGAGGAGGTCTTAAATTAAGATTTCACATACTTTTGAAGCGGTCATTAATGATTGGGGTTTAAAATGTTTTCACCTACAAATATCTCATATGAAATTCTGCTTTATATGCAAGTATGGCAGCTTTTTTTGGTATGTAATAATTATATTCTGAAATGTGGAAAAAAGTATGAATATTGCTTGTCTGATTTGGATGCCTTCAAGGATTTCTAACTTTCTCTTTCAATCTTATATTTTTCTCTCTCTCAAGGGAAACTTTAATTCACAGATTAAGTACCCAAACTGTACAAATGTTTCAAATCATAATAGTTGCTACACTACCCAAATAAACAAGAAAATCACATACGTATTAATCCTCAGCCTGTTTGTTTACCATACGTGCCTCCAATTATGATGTTTTGCTACTTGGAAGTAATTTTTCATGAGTATACAAAGCATAGTCCCTCGGTGCAAATAAAAAGGGTATAGATTTACAATCAGTGGTGTATCAGTATGTGTCATGATTCATTCTGTTAGTGCTTTCTGCTTTGTAGCACTTTCCATTAGGGAATCTCAAAACTGTAGGTATAATTAAGGTTAGCAAAGTCATGGAGGTAGAGGGCATTCCTTTGTTGGGGGAAAGGATAGACTGCATTGTTTTTTGCTTAGGTTTTTTTTTAGTCATTTTCTGTTTCCAGTTTAAATTTGCAATTTAATAAGTAATTGCAGTGGTATAACATAGGATACTTACCCTTGTGAAAGTGGATGGGAGTGACCAAAACAAAAACACCAGTGGCATAGGCATTTTTTAGCCTAGCCTTGTTTCTAATGAGGCTGGTATATAGAACCTACACTGCAACTTTAATAATTGTTGGTAAGGTGCTTTGTGCTGACTTTTGGAGCAGTACTTTTTCAAAATTAAATACGTCTTACATAAATGAACACAAACAATTTGACTTAAGAAATAAAAGATCTTAGCTGATGATTCAGTTTTCCATTTACAGGCTTTTAAATTTGGTGTTGAAAAGGTAAACTCTAAGATTATTTGTTGGGTATTAGCCTTATCTAAGAAAATTGTGATGCAGTTTAAATTTCAAGCAGAGCAGTAACAGTGGACATGCAGTCACTTTGCCTGGTGCATAGTGGTTCACGTGTCACACAGTCTGAAAATGCCAGAAATACTATTCCATGTTACTTTGCAGTGCAGTATGCAGCATTAGGTGGCAAGCCTTTGTTTAACTACAACTGGATTGTTATTCCTGTGATTGCAATCCCACAGTTGCTTCTTTGCCGTCCTTTATGGCTTCGATAGTTCAAAACACAGGCAGTTATCTGTTTTCCTGGCACAGGGTTAGTTTAAGAATAACTTTGGTGTCTTTGTTTTACTTCAGAATTACCATCTTTGAGGGTAAGGTAAAGATAGCAATTGGTAATGTTGGATGCTTGAGAACACCCCCTGTTTGCCTATTTGACAGTATATGAACACATTCCTCTCCCACATCCATGCTTGTTTTCCTCATGATTGCCACTATTCATTTGCTAAATTGCTTCTTTCCATTCTAAAGAAGGCAGCTACAATGAAATGGAGGTGATAGATAGAGCTAGAAGGTATAGGATGAACAGTGGACAAGTTCTGCATGGAAGGGTTGATTCTACAAAATGCCTCTCTCAGTACTGCTGAGTTCCTGGTAAAACATGTAACTAGCTGGAACATTTCCTCACACTCCCTGCCCTGCGCACAGCCCAGATCACATAAAAACTAATTGTTGCTGCCTGGATGGTATTACATGTTTTGGGCTGTATTTTGTTTTCAGATCTAAGCTCAACTTTCATTACCATTGATAATAATTGTAGATGTACATGAGGTCTTTTTCTTAGTTTTATGCACCAGGAAGCAACAAATACTAAACACTAAGGTTAAAAACTGGTTTTTTTTCTATTATTTGTTCTGATAATATCCATATAGTGTAAAAAGTCATTTGCAAGTAGATAAATAGCTGTTGTCACATGTCGTTCAGCACCATCAGACATAATTTTCTATAAAATGAAAAAATAAAAACAGCTTTTAGGACTTCATGGGGGAATATCCATCTTAAAATAGTACTTGGAATTTAATAAGTGATGACTAATTCTAAAAATAAGGAGGATAGTTGTCATACTTCAGAAAACTTTTTCTTCCTTCAGTGGGAGAGAAAATGAATATAACTGTAGGGCACATGCCAAACTAACAGTGAGAAATTAATTTATTACTGGGCAATGGAGAGCATGGAGTAAAAATAGATAAGTACAGTATATGACCCTAATATCAAAGAAATGTAGCAGCCACTTATCTTGGAATATGTCAGGCAGTCTATTATTCAAATCATTCAGGACTGTAATTGAATACAGTTTTGGAAAACTTAAAACTCCAAATTCATAGCGGCTGAACATTATAGAAAGCATAAATACAAGAATGGTTTTACAGTAATGGTATGGGTCTCTTTAAACCTACAAAACCTAAATATCCCTGAGTAGAAACTACAGTGCACAACCTAATGCTTTGTCCTGTGGCTAATTTGTTTTTATGATTCATGTTTACGTATAGCACATGTTCCTCTCATATAAATGCACACATGCATATTACGGTCTTTTCCAGGAAAAGATAATTGGTGCATGTAGTCTTTCTTCAGGTGTTTCAACCAAACCAGGTAGCTGAGGTCACCAGGGGCTTCTATAGGCTTTCCAGGATGCACAAGCAAGAAAGTTCAGACCTGAGTGCCTGTGGAAACTCTGCATTTGGAGTCAGTTGAGTTTTAGATGCTTACATTTGCAGGTTTGAAAGCTAGTTAAAGACGTGATGCTGTGAAAAATAGGAGGTGAGAGAAAGCTGCAATTGTCAGTGTAAAACTGTTATCTGAAAACACTGAAAATGGGTGTTGTCCAAAGGGGTTATGAAGTGGGAGAAGAGGGAACTGAAAGCAAAACTCATGAATTACATAACGACTGGGAGGGTTATAACCGACCACAGCGAATAATACTTTGAGCAAGAATGCTGAGAGAAGGAAGAGGAGAGCTGTGGTATCAGAGAGAAGCAGAAGAGGGAAGTGATCATCTCTTCCTACCCATCACACAGCTGATGAGAAAAAAAACTAAACCACCTGTTCTTTTCTCATTAGCTTTTTAGATGGTAAAAATGTACAAGTAATTACTCACTTAAATGTGTGAAGCCCTGAATGTGCTCCATATGGTAATTAACTAGTAAAAATGACACATACTTTTAAAAATAAAATTAGTGAAAAGGAAATACTGCTTTGGTAGCAAGAAACTTGGTATGATTCACGGTGTTAGTGCAAAGAATTGACAGCTGGATAAGAGCTCTGATGGTAGCAGCAGTTGTATGGGGCAAAAATTGTGTGGAAGTATGGGCTGAGTTTAATAGGTTTTGAGGGAAAAAATTGGTTCCCCTGCACCAAGTAGACGATCATTTGGGGAAAAAGTCAAGGGTGAATAAGAGAAGTTCGTGATAAAAGCAAAAGAGGGGAAAACTGCTGTTGCAGTGAGGAGGTATTTATAAAAATATTTGATGCAATAATTTAGTGTTATTTATTATTGTGCATATGGAATTATGGTGTAATTGTAGAAGTGATACCACCTTACTTACTAAGGTTTTATTCAGCATGTTCATTATATTCTCTTGATAGTAGTTATTACCAATGATAGTTTTATTGTTTCCTACTTCTAGCAGTTCCACAGAAACTGTTCAGAAAGTGAAGAGTAAATCATCATGTTTTGTTTCATGTCTTCGACAGAACTTTTGAATGTGATCCACTTCGAGAACTTCTTTAGAGTAGTGATGTGTAAAGCAGAAATAATAACTTTTGACAAAAGTCAAGGTCAAGTTGCAGACCTATCAAACCAGGTGATAAATACATCTAATTTCAAATTGAGCACACTTACAGAATTCCCTGAGAAACAGTAAACATAATGTCCCTCAACATTCAACTAGAGATACTTTCAGTATAGAAAACCTTAAATGGTGTTTTTACCATTTCTAGGTTGTGGGGGTAGTCTTTACAGGGGAAACTTTCCTAACATTTACGTTGCTTTGTCCATTTAGGCTGTTTCTCATTCCATAGCAAGTGTTAAAACTGACTCTGAAGTATGTTCTTTTCCTGCATGAAGGATCTCTTCATAGAAGTACTGGGAACACAAAGATTGTGCAATGGATTAATACCGTGGCTGTAGTCTGGTGTGCATCTTGCAGGACAAGTTAGCATAAAATGCAAAACCCTGCATTAGAGAAGTGGAGTTCTTCCAAATAGTCACTGGTGTGTGCTCAATGAGTTTTATATTTTCAGAACCTTGTTAGCAGTAATTATTTTATAGCTTAAATACATTTATCATTCATAAAAGCTCTGGTCTGAGTTCTTATTTCAGGAATGGCTGTATCAGAAGAAGCATTAACTTGTTAATAGCATGAAAGAGATGTAGTAGAATTGTTTGCGATAGCAGAGGTCTGTGTGCTTAACTACCATTGATTTTTAAATAACTAGTTTCATATTTCTGTCCCTCTTAGGGCACTTCTTCATTTTTTTACTGAGACAAAATATAGTTCTTTTAAATCAGTTTTCTATGTTAGCCACGTCTTCTCTTCTCTCAGATGCTTTTGTATTAGGATAACACAAGCTTATGATATCCTTGATATAATTCTATTAATTTTTTGTAGTTTACTGTTTGCCCTCTTGTTTTTCATCTTCCTCTAAGAAATCTGTTGTTCTTCTGGTGTTTCATCACCGAAGAGATTTTTCCTATGCAGGGTTTTCATTACACATCTTCTCATGCCCTCCTTTTAAGATTGAAATTGGGAAGGTTTGCTGGGGAGAGGTGGAGGGGGAAGTGTTCAGCAAAACACGCCATGTGTATCCTATCCCTTTACATGCTTGCAACTTGTTTACGTTGTTGACCACTCTTGCGTATCGAGATATTTTTAGACTTTTGCGTTG